AATAAGTAAGTCTGCAATGTAGTTAAGATTAGTTTAAATTTAAAGTTGAGTGAAATATGCTGCAGGGCAAGTAAAGCTGGAACAATTAACTGGATTGTGACGAATCAATTATCAACTAATTTAGTAATTGATTGTTAACTAGAAGAGACAAACTTCAGAAAAGGTTATTTGTTAAAAATAACATTTTCACGTTAATGTTATTTTTTTTTTTACTACAAATGCATCATTTGTTATAAATAGAATGCTATGTTCTTTTTCTTTTAGGCAAGAAAATGTTTTTTTTCTTATTTAAAACAAGATTTGAATTATTTGTTTAGTAAGGTTTTTTAAAAATATTTATATTATATAAAATCTGCAGAATGTGCCAGTCTTTTTTAATCCGTTTAATTGGTCAATCATCAGAATAATCGATTACTAAAATAATCGATCGCTGCAGTCCTAAAGCCGGGAGAATTTACATGAATTTTAAAAAAGTACATATTTCATAACAACAACAACCTTTGAACTAATATTTTTTGCAACAATTACACTTGCATACTTCAGATAGTTAATGAATAAAAAGTTTCTACATTACCTGAAAAGGGAGCACGTGTTGTCCAGCACAATGTTGAACACTCCGTCCTCCCTTACGCTCTTTTTATGGACTGTACCGCCAAAAACTTTATTCATCATCTATGGCAAACAAACACAGAGTTAATAATTACACACCGACTCAGTTATGGTGCGCTTGAAATACAGTAAATCATTTCAGAGAGTAGAAGAAATACTGCGGTTCCTTATCTTAAGAGGCAAACAGCAGCTTCAAGTGTGAAGCATAGATAAAGCTACCTGCATCCCATAGCAGATGCCAAGTACGGGCTTCCCTATGGTGAATATGGCCTGGTCGAAATAAGGAGCATCTTCTGCGTAAACAGAGGCTGGACCGCCTGAAATAATGATGGCTCTAAGGAGTGAAAAGAGGAAAAACCATAAAGACAGTGCAAAACCACAAAACACCTTCACACTTCAATTTAAAGAAAGCATACAAAAAGGGAGAAAAACTATAAAATAAAGGCACTTCCCCACCCCCAGGGTTCTCACCTGTAACCCTGTTCTCTGAGGGCAAAGGCAGGGGTCTCTAAAGGGAGGATCTCTGAGCGGACACACAGCTCCCGCACTCGTCTGTCGATCACCTTCCCATATTGTGCTCCTGCATCCAGGATGGCAACCGCCCCCTCGCAAGATCCGTTCTGCGCTGAGGTGCTGATATCCAGCTGTGGATGGAGTTTCACAGACACATTAACATGTTGATCAAATCTCATCTGTTTTTATGATTTTAAAAAGAGAAACGCATGCGAGAGTTACATAAACACAGACTTAAAACTCAAGTGTCAATGCCAAGTCGGTAGTTCTGCACGAGAGCCGGCACAGTGAAGTCAACCTCTCCAAAACTTTCCTGTGCTCCATCTTTAACCTCCTTGAGGAAAATGTGACTCACAAATAGGCGTAACGTGATTAGGAACATGTGAGCCACAACATCTAGACAGACAGGCACTCTTTTAAAACATGCTGCAACCATTCAGAAAAATCATGTGAAACCTCAAGCTAGTCAAGGGTTATTAGCTTGAGCAGCTTCTTAAATGGACATTTTGGTCCAGTGAAACTGGAGCTAAAAGAGGGAAACCGGGATTTCAGGGAAGGATGTTGATAGAGAGATTACCAAAAACAGAAACAATATTACAAAAAAAAAAAAAACTGTTTATGAAACACTAAAGTACTAAACATCCCACAGACCATTGCTCTATCCATCATCATTATCAGAAGATGAGAGAATAGCAAATCTAGCCGGGCATGGCTCCTTTCTGTAACATCTGGACCATTTATCTAGTCAGAGTCTTAATGTGTTACATTAAATTTTCTAGTGAAATATACCCCTTTATAAGCTGATGAGGAAAAAAGGTTCATGGACTACAAGTATTTAAAAGGGTATTGAGTCATGTTTACTCTAGGATCTTGGTCCATGTCGAGGTATTATGGAACCTTTGTTTTATGGCATATGCTTGAGTGACAAACACACATCAGTTGAGGACCTACAGAAATGGAAGCGCCAACCAATAAACCACGTCAAAACAAACCCATGAAGAGCATAAAACGAGAAATATGACCCACGTGAAAAGTGAAAGCATATTTTTAGTTGTTTCTAAAATGCACAATATGCTGTTCTAATACCTAGAGGTGGGATAGAAATATTTAGTAACCAAGAATGCTCAGGAAAAGTACTTACCAGATGACCCGCTAACATCGCAGTGTCAGTTTTAAGTTTGCTCAAACTAGCCTCGTCAGATTGTTAGCAGACTGACACTTAAAGTGACGTTATTTTAGCTCAAACTGAGTGACAGCAGCCTTGCAAAGTAAACGAGATTGACGCAAGTTAACGTTTTAGTTTCGAAGCCGACCCTGCGGCTAAAATAAATAAATATTATGTAATTATTACACTGTTAACGATGCTGTCCTAACATATTCATCCCTGCTAACGCTTGCTAGCTAGTGGTAGCGTGCTAGCGAGCGAAGAACACACAGTAAGGAGCGTTAGCCCGTTAGCAGCACGGTTAACAGAGCTATGCTAAAAACCACGTCGCGCCAGCAGCTGCAGGCACTTACTCGACGAAGACGCAAATGGTGGGAAAAATATGTGACAGACTTGCTTTCATGTCAGATGAGTCTGATATATGACGCGTAGCTAGTTAGCAGTTATGAGCAACATGTAAATGGGGAAACTGCAACAGGCACACAGCGGACTACCCGCACCTCCGTGGGGCTGTTGGTAACATGCTGACTAACTTTCCCCCCCTTGAGGTGCACAGAGGCCGTCTATAAACCGCGGGTACTACGGCTTCCGACATCAAGTCACCCGGGCCACTCGGTACTAGAGTCGCGGCGCGGAGTAACCTATCCACTGACCTTGCTGTCTCCGTTGCACAGAGCCATGGGGGTCTGCCGCTGTTTTCAGTGTTCCCCTTCGCCTCACTGTCCCAGGTCTCACACTGAAAGAGGGCTGCTGGTTAGCTCCTGGATCAGCACGCCGACTACTGCTGGAGAGGCAGACTGTGCTGTGGGTCTAGTGAAGCTCCGCTTTCTCCCCTCATGGGTGGAGCGCAAAGTGAAATTCAACAGATAGTAAAGGGGAAGGGTAGGAGGCGTTGGAGGCTGAGAATCAGCCTACAACAAATAGAGACGGGACGGCCCTTTTAATTACCTTTAAACAATAATAAACGGTGGGTTTGTATGTACACGGAGCTTAAATACCACTAGCCAACAGATGTTTCATCCTTTTATTTAATTCAAAAAGTATTTTTTTTTGAATTAATTGTTGTTGTTACTCATTAAAATTTCTTCAAAGAGTTGACTCCAACATCCCAACTCTTAGCCCGTGAGGATGCAACGAGTAAGATGAAGCATTGATGAATGCCTTTCCATCTTCTGCTAAGACACCCTGGAGGGTGTGTTTCTCTAGCTATTTCGTTTTACCTAGAAGGAAGCTGAAATCTTACCTCATATGACCTGTGGGGGGGAAAAAAAGATTTATATATTTTGCACTGAGCTAATGCAGATTAGATTATGTTGAGAAAAAACATTCCCTAAACTAGCTAATATAGGTGTAAAATCCAAGTGGAAGGATCTATCAAAGTTTCACCTGAAGGTCAAATGGTTTTCAACACTGACCTCTGAGGTCTTAAATGAGAGTGATTGGTAGATGCACCAGGTAAACATGTTAACAGATATCTTCAGACATTAAGTGATTTAAGCATGGTAGGTCTAGTGAAATAGGGGTGAAAATATGGTATTGTAATAGCATCCCTTCATCTCAAACTATATCTCGGTAAGTGGTGGTAATGGCAGCTTTACATCAGTCCTTTCATCACATGCTGTGTCATTAAAATAAGCCTCTGTCTTGTCACATGTTTGCAGTTGGGATAAGCAACTTCACATGGGCTCAAACCAACCCGCAAGCCTGACCATGTCGTTATTCATTACATTTTAATTTAATGTGGAGTCATGGGTGCAACATGACTCCACGTCACTATGTGATTAAATACTATCTAGATTAAGCAAAAGAATAATTTCAAACAATGTTATCCTTCAGTAAATTTTGTCCAGTCATCTTTTAAAAAAAAAAACAGTTCTAAAGTAATATGCCTTCTCTAATATATACAAGGAATGGGTTCTTTTAATAGCGCAGTGTTTTAATTTGTTCTAGCTGTGTGGCCATAAAATAAACAAAGGTAGAGCATGGCTAAGGGGGAAAAACTTTTTAAATTGCCTGTATTTTATGGCGATTGAAGTAAAATCACTCTCATTTAAGACTAAACTTTGTAATGAAGTTTAGTGTTCATCAGGATCATGTCTGCTGCTGCATGCATTCCTGTTGTATTTTGATTTAACCAGCTGAATAAGCAAGCGACACTCCACTGGTCATTTTGTCGCTACAAAAAAAAGTGTGGTGGTTAATCCTCAAAAGTCTGACAATCCATCCTGGAGACTTCAAACTCATAAACCAATAAAACTGAGTTTTTACCATTCCATTTAACTGAATTGTATTTTACTGTAGTTACATTTTATTTTGGTATTAAAAGTTGTTGCTTTTATCTTTCAATGCATCTGTTTATTATGGATGAGAGCCAATTACTTTATTGCAGCTTGTCATTTTGCATTTAGTTTCTCCTGTTTAATTTGTCTTTTATTTTTTTCTATCCGCAAACATATCTGGATGTTTTATTTAGAAGAAATAATCAATATCAAAATAATGACAAATTCAAAAGTTTAGATTTTTGTTTTATCTTTCCCATTTCGTTTTTGCTTTAGACATAACATTATTATGATTATTATAATTGTTATTATTATTATTATTATTGTTGTTGTTGTTGTTGTTGTTGTTGTTGTTTTTGTTGTTGTATATTGAGTATCTTCTCTTTTTTTCCCTCTCGGAAGACAGGCGTTGGATTTGTTTCCTTCCATAGCAAAAAACCTTCCGTCTTTTTGCTCATTGCTTCTGAAGAGGAACTTCGTGCAGTGACGTTTTCAGACACGTCAGCTAAAGTTACCCGGACACATTTCCGTGCTGCACACTACGCTCTTCTTGGCTGTCCTGTGTTTTTGTCCATCGATGTGTTTTTAAGTTAAACGGTAGTCTAATTATTTCTCTTTATTCATTTCATCTATTAGGACGTTACCGTGTTTTAGCCGAACAATCTTATGAAACAAGCCGCTGATTGACTCACTCATTCCTCTAATTTTGTGTGTTTGTTTCTGCTTTGGCATGCTGTCATCACCAGGTATGCATGAACCCATCCGCTTTCCTTTTTCTTTTCTTTTGTGCATGATTTGTGGCTGTTTCTGAGTTTATTCTGTGAGCGTACAATGTTGTTTACTTTTAAACGACACCAGAGTGAAACCAGCAAACCTCATGTTAATTTTTCACTGACTTGGCTTATAATTATACTTCCTGTTAGAGATCAATGGATGTATTCTTGACATTTCTAAAATGTAGCACTTTTTTGATGATTCTTCTCACGCCTTAAATCAAACCTGCTTCTGAATGTGTTTCTTCCTTTCCGCCGTTTTTTCAATGGATTTCAATAATTTATTTACATTTACCTTTCCAACCATGGCACATTTGGAGAAGACATTAGCTGATTTACCCAGAAGCCTCAAAAGACAGACTAGAAACTCCATGTAATTGTTTTATGGGTATTTTTATTTTCTTCTTCCAGATTTATTGTGGGCACAGCAGGTTTGATGCCCTCTGCTCCATCATGGAGCCCTCAGATTTGACGACACGCAGGAACGGGCTACAGAGGAGAGTACCAGGTGCCTCCACCCTGTCTGAGCACATCGGCTCAATGGACAGAGGGGAGACGAGTTCTCCTGAGCCGGAGACGGAAGAGGAGGCAGACAGCCTCATCAGGAGCTCAGACAGAGAGAACAGGAGGCGTCACCGGGTTCGGCCGGGTATCCGTGGTGAACTGGGGAATATAGCACTTCTCCTGTTCCTCTATGTGCTGCAGGGGATTCCCTTGGGACTGGCTGGCAGCATCCCCCTAATCTTACAGAGCAAGAGCGTCAGCTACAAAGACCAAGCCTTCTTCAGCTTCGTCTTCTGGCCGTTCAGTTTGAAGCTTTTCTGGGCACCGCTGGTGGACGCCCTGTACTTCAGCAGGTTTGGGAGAAGGTATGACGGACACCCAAGTACGGATGATACTGTTATATATGCTTTTGTTTTCGTCTCTGAGCTTGTTGTCATGTGTTTCTGCAGGAAGTCGTGGCTGGTGCCCACTCAGTACCTGCTGGGGCTGTTCATGCTCTATCTTTCGGCAACAGTCACCTCACTGCTGCAGAGCGAGGAGGGGCCCAAGGTGGGCACGCTCACTGCAGTCTTCTTTATGCTTGCCTTCCTGGCAGCCACACAGGTAACCATTAACAAGCACACATATGCAGTGCTTTGCAAAAGTTTTCGTGTCCCCATGAACTGTTTCACCCTACAGGTAGAGCGCCATAGAATTATGAAGTGGAAAGATAAAATGTGCAACTTTTGTTTCAAAAATCAATGAAATTAAAAAATTATTTTCTTTTGCTAAAGAAAATTCTAAGTACAAACTTAAAACTTCTTCTTTCTCCCTCTCTCTCTCTCTCTCTCTTTCTCTCTCACTATCTCTCTCTGTGTACTAGGATATAGCTGTGGATGGCTGGGCCCTCACCATGTTGTCTAGAGAAAATGTGGGCTATGCGTCTACCTGCAACTCCGTAGGCCAGACGGCGGGGTATTTCCTGGGGAACGTGCTCTTTCTGGCTCTGGAGTCTGCTGAATTTTGCAACAAGTACCTCCGAATAGTGCCCAAAGACACCGGCATCGTCACCCTGCCAGGTACATGGACACACTACTGTTGAATTCTGAGGTGTGGTGTAAAAAATACATATAATCATAAATGATTTTAAAATGTTTTACTTCAACGTTTCCTGTACCATTCAAATTAAAATCAAACAAATCTGCTAGGGGTGGGTTTTTAAAAAAAAAAAGCTGCAGTAATCTGGTTGCATAAGGGCGGCACACCTTTACACTAATACTTCTTTGACACACCTTTGACTCAATTTCAACATTTCGTGTTTGTTGGTACAAGCCTCTCATCAGTTACGGCAAATCAGACTGAATTGAAATAAACCTCAGCTGTCCAGCTCTTCGTTTAACGCAATGATCTGAACATACAAATGTATCAGACTACCTAACCATTCCACATAAATATATACCTAACATAGCACAGGCAAGGCGGGTACCAATAGTTGGAAAGAATGTACTGCAGCGGTGAAATTATTAAACTTGCACATCATTTTAGAGACAAAACAGCAACACGGAAGAGGCTGTTGGGATCTCTGGTTTTAGAAGAAGGAATTCAGTAAGAAAGGAGGTTTGAAGACTTGACACTAAACATCCTGGACTGACTACAATATTCCCAAACCTTGTGGGTGAATGCATCATGGTCTGAAGAAACCAAACGTCTGCTATTATGCCAAGCATACGTCTAAAACCGCAAAGGTTTGAAGAATCTTTGCAAGGCAGAGTGGGCAAATGTACAAAATGTGCTGATGTATTGAAAATGATTGTTTTTCTTATTTCTGCTAGGTTTAGGCTGATGATTTCAGTCGATCTTTTGTTCTTCTGTTGCAGATTTTTTATTTTTCTGGGGGGTTATATTCCTAGTCTCCACTACCCTGGTGGCCATCCTCAAAAGGGAGAACGATCACAGCAGAGGCAGGAGGAACGTCCCGGAAGAGACTCAGGGTGTCACGGAAACCTACAGGCTCCTGTTCTCCATCGTCAAGATGCCCACAGTCTTCACTTTTTGTTCCCTGCTCCTCACAGCTAAAGTACAGAACTGCTAACAGCAAGATGACTGGTGTAGTCTGTATCTGAAGAAAACTCATGGTGAAAATATTTTATTTTTTTTTTTTGCATTAGATCGGTTTCTCTGCAGCAGATGCCGTTACAGGTCTGAAGCTGGTGGAGGCTGGAGTCCCCAAAGAGCAGCTGGCGCTCCTGGCGGTTCCCATGGTGCCTCTGCAGATCCTTCTGCCGGTGATCATCAGCAGATACACGGCGGGGCCCCGACCCCTTGACGTCTTTTATAAAGCCTTTCCGTTCCGGTAAGCGCTCACGTAAAGTGGAGAAGTTGACTCACTTTGTGTTTGTATGCTGTAAGCAAAGAGCTAGCGGAGTCCTGTTCTGTTACGCAGGTTGCTTATCGGGCTTGAGTACGCTCTGCTGGTATGGTGGACCCCCCATGTGAAGCAAGAAGGAGGATTCCCACTTTACTACTACGCCATAATCCTGCTCAGCTATGCATTGCATCAGGTTTGTTGTTTTTCTCCGTTTGTCTCTGCTGGTTGCTCTGCTTAACTACAACCGTCAAATCCAGTCTGACTTCCTGAAACCTGTTCAAGTAAACCGGATGATGAGCGTTTGCAAACCTCTCACAGTAAAACACTTAAACACCTTGTTTTTTAATTTGGTGTCCCTAGGTGGCGCTGTACAGCATGTACGTGGCCTGCATGGCCTTCCACGCCAAAGTGAGTGACCCCCTCATAGGAGGGACCTACATGACGCTGCTTAACACAGTCACTAACCTGGGAGGAAACTGGCCCTCCACCGTGGCTCTGTGGATGGTCGACCCTCTGACCTCTAAGGAGTGCCAGGGGGCCGTGGGACAGAGCTGCAGCTCGTCACTGGAGGCGGAGGTGAGTGGCACGCGAGAGAGCAGAAAACCACAGGGTGTGTTTTTATTTATAAACTAAACCCCTCTTCCCCCCCCCCCCCCCCAGTTGGGTGTCAAGGAAGGAGGCGTTTGTGTGACGACCATGGACGGCTACTACGTGGAGTCTGTGGTGTGTGTCGTCATCGGTTTGCTGTGGTGGCTGTGGCTGGGGAAGAGGATGAGGCGGCTGCAGGAGCAGAGCTCGTCTGCGTGGAGATGCAGGGTGAACCAGTGATACGAATCCTACAGACATTTCAGTAGTGAGCTGCACCTTCATTTTCTGCTCCAAAACCAGCTGGACTCACAGTCGTTCCCACACAGCAACGTTTTGCTCTGGTCTGGCTTTTTCGCTGCCGGATCGAGGGGACACTTACCATTAAACATGCCACTTTAATGTACACACATATGAAGTAAGCCACCATCACTGTCTTCTTCTTTTTATTTTTATTTTTTTTAAACTATTGCCGCCGTCTTATAAAGTGTCCTAGTAGATTTTTACCATGTTGTGCTGCTTAAGCAAAACCAAACAAAGGCTGGGTCAAAGAAGATCTTGACAATTATTTTTTTTTCATCTGAAAAAAGAATTTTTTAAGATGCTTTATGGGTTTTAGTACTTCATCTTCAAACCCATCTATCTTTCTTATATGAAAGGAATATTCACAGAGCCAGATGCACTAATCTTAACTCAAAGCACATGTGAAGATTTCTCCTCATATCCCTGACCTGAACTACGAAGCAGGAAAAGAGTCTAAGTGCAGTTCAGAGAGAAACAGTTAGAGAAATAGGACGCGGTTACGTATAAATGTTTTAAAAAGAAAAAGGATAAAGAATATCTACAGTATGCAGAAATATCTTCTCTTCATTGTCCCTGTTTCAGTTTAACTAAGGAGAACATTTTGGGAGACATCTTACTATAATATTTATAGTATTCTATAAATATTATACTATAATATCATATACTCTACTGTACTATAATATATTTATAATTTAAATCCATACAAAGGAATAAAATAATTTTTGTCTCCTCCATTGTAGAAGGGTGCTGCATTAAATATTTGTCTTGTACTTTCATATCAGTCATATTAGTTATAGAGTTGGACCAATCAAGCCCCTGCCAGTTTCTGGTTTTCTTTGATCTCTGACCTGCCGGTTTCTGTTCATCCTCTGACTGTAGTACAGAAGAGGAAAACAGGGGCGGCAAGTTCTTTGATAGGTGTTGTAGTTTTGTATTCAAAAGAAAATGAAGGAATAACACGGTTATCCCCATTTATGCACAAAATTGATCTGATTTTGTCAGAAAATGTGCATTATAGCATCTGCTGCTGGTTCAGATGTTTATGTCCTGAAAATAGCAAAGGAATGTTTGGATTATTTATTTGAGCCTGAAGATTGCAATTTGAAATCCTAGGCGGCAGAAAATTAACTTTAACTTAGAAGGCATGAGTGCTGGTGAATATGCCGAGAGCAGAATAAATTCACTTCTATTCCACTCCTGGCCACTGTAATCTCTCACGCGTGGATTTCTGCTGCACTAATCCAGCAGCACGAATACCAGATTACGATGAAAATGCTAACGGTATGAATTTGAGTACGTTAGCATCAGTTGCTACATTCCAAACGTGTGCTACCGCTGTTACCATGGTGATATACTGTGCAGCCTAATTTAGAAAGTTGCAACAGAGACGGTGATTTTCACAAGCTGCATCCAGCTGAACAAGACTGAAACCGGCCACCAGACGAGACGCACATGTTTAAATACATTGTAAACAATCAGCGCTACCGCTGCTTTTATCGCGTAGCCGTGTACGTTAGCTAGATCAATAATTTACACAGAAATAATCTGCATATTTTATTTACTTTGACCGTGTTGCTTTCGGCGGACTGAAAATATTACTTTGATTTCATGTCACTCTAAAAATATAGTCATTACGGTGGACGGCGTTGTGATCCCAACTCAGGACGTTACAACCGATTAGTGACGGTGTGACGCTGAAGTACTGCAGAGCGGGATGGACACACTCAACCCGGCTTCATAGTTTGCTGCCCAACTCCCAAGTTCAACCTGTTATGATTTAAAATACTCAGATTTCTAACATGTTTCATCATTTCTATTGTGGTTGGTTTTGTTTCTTTAAACCGTGCCTTGTTTAGTGTCTTCAAGTCAGTTCATTGTCAAAACTTTTATCTGAATTTGAAAAATGAAGGTAGGTTATGCTGCCATCATGTGGCAGAGAAGGGGGACTGCTAATTACCCACACTTTACACTGTTGCCCTCAAATAATTGTGAAGGTACTCAAGTTCCTTTGAGTTTCTCAACACACTAGAGCTTTAATCCGCCAGTTGTTTCTGTGCGCCAGTGGAAGTGTGCGCTCCTTAGAGAAGAATTAGATTTGCACTTTGTAATCTAAAAACTCGTCGTCGTCTATATGGTTAAATGAATGGAGATGCCGAAACGTCATTTTGCCTTTTTAAAATGATACAAAACTTCCATGAGCAATTACAAACGATGGTCAGTATATTGGTTTGGGAAATCTTTTCAGTGCAGCTTTTTCCAGTTTGTTGGTTGCATTGTAACTGCATTTACTGCACAAGTTCATATTATTACAGGAAACATTTAATATCTATTTAGTCTGTTTAGATAAGTGGATGATGTCATGGATACCTTTACATCGTATCAGCCATGAGGGACGATTAGTGCGAGTGTAACGTCTGAATGGTGGTTACCAAAATTCCCTGGTGAAAACATTGATAAGGGTCGTTTGTAGCTTGTGAAATACATTAAATATATTGATTTGAGGAGCTGGTACTTGCTGTTGTTTATAATAAATGCACTGAAAGCATGATTTATATCAAATGAATTAGTTGGACAACAGGAAACAAGGGAAAAGCGTCTAAATTACGTGTTTTTTTTTCTGTTCCTGAGCCTTCTACTCTTTTTAAATGTGTATCTGTCCTTTTTATATTAGACATTAATTAAGCTCGGCTCACAGCAATATTATGAGAATGTTTTATATTTACTTGCTGCAGATCATCCATTTAGATAGTTCTGTCATTGACACTGTTTACTGATTTAGTTTGATAATTGGTGTTTTTCCAGGTGGTGGGCAACTACTTAAGAGTTTTATTATATTATTTTATTCTATTCATAATATATATATTTTTAGTTCTTGCACAGCTTTAGTTTACTGCGATTCAAATTCCACAATAGGGTGCCAAAACAAATTTGCCCAGACTCAGGCCCCGTCTACATTTATTTGCATCTGACGTTTTGTTCTTGTCCGCACAAAAACAAAGGTTTTGGTCAAATAAATTGCGATTTAAAAGGCTTTCAAAGGTTTATTGACAGATGGTTTTATTGTCAGTGAATTTTTTTTCTTTTTTCTTCATTTTCCTTACAAACAAACTGTTTTTAATATCTGACTAATGAAGCCAAAGCTTAGAAGCTATGGACTTCTCCAGGAATAATTAGATCAACTTAAGACATCTGAATTGAAGCATTTACTAAATTGGAATTTTTTTTCTACATTCCAAAGTCTTTAAGATAATAAAATAAAATAAAATCATAACCACTGTGGTTCTAAAGGCTTAATTTCAATTGGATGGAACAAAATGAAATTTTGACGTCATTTTTGTATCGAAGGTGGAACCTGGAAAGTCTGAATTTGAAAATTATTTTACCATCCTTATGATACTCTGTAGATCCTCTTGGATTTCTGTCTGCTCTGCTCTCAGGCTCTGCTTGTTTTTACTACCTTGAGTCTTTTCCTTCCACTGTCACCATGTGCTTGTGTCATAACTGGGAACAGACTGGAATGTGTGTAATCTTAATGGTTGGATTAATCTGGTCGCACACTTCTGGATGGTGGTTGGACCCATTTGTCCTGTGAAGTGCCTTGAGGTGACATTTGTTAATGAGTGAAGTGATGCTACACAAATAAACCGAGTTCAAAGTAAATCCCACGTTGTAACAGAATCCCGCCGAAGGAAAAGAACGACTAAAAGTGATTGAATATTGAGATCTCAATAAATATTTGTAATTAAAAACATACACTTCATCAGGTTTGCGTCTCTTTTTCTGTGACTGATGGAGGGAAAACAAACAGACACGATGTGCATGTTTTCTTTACAGTTTATTTAGAATTTCTTTTTGCGTCTCAAGAGTTGTAAAATTGTTTTTCCTGAACAAGTTAATGCTGAGGCTGCGTCTCCGGGTCTTTGGAGCTCTGAACCTTCACAGAGCTGCAGATGGTGAGACCAGATCAACTGGTTCTGGAGCTTCGGACGCCCTGAGCGTCTCCGAGCGGCCTGAAGGAGAGCCGGAGGTGGTGTTACGCAATCAGCACAGAGACCAGCTATACGTTGCCGTTGATAAGGAGCTGAATTATAAGAGTGATAACTCAAGTATGGAGTCCACATGATGTCATTTCACAACACAACTGCTTAAAGAATTGATAGTTTTTGGGTTTTTTATTTAATGGAGGCTCTATAAGTTGATGCACAGCACAGAAAATGGATCCACTTGGTAAGACTTCGTAAAACAAAGCAAAACCTTTTGTTTATAGAGCCTCTTTTTGTCTGATCGTCACAATCCACTTGTTTTTTTGGGTTTTTTTATATTAATCCTAATTCAGATCATAATCCAGAACCAGGAACCATGTCAGCAATCCATCCAGTAGAGCTTACTGGCATCGACTAACAGAGATCAAAGCACTTTGGATATCTTAAAGTCCAGCAGACTGACTGCGTCTCACCTCCAACCATACCATAGTGTGAGAAATGATCGACGTCGACGGGGCGACGGCGTCACCTTCAGCACTGAACTGTAGTCTGCCGGAGTGCCGGCCCCAAGCGCACACTCCAGGTCGTGACAGTACATGTAGTGTGCAGATGTGCAAGAAGTTTGGATTCTCTTTGTCTCTAGCATCCGTTCCTGTTTCTTTGCCTTTAAAAAATATCACCAAACCAGAGGGAGAAGAGATGAAGTCAGGGGTCATAGGTTCATACGTAGATGCTCGGGCCGTTTGGCCACGACGGGGTAGGCTTGCTGCTTCATCTGGGCGAGGTTGACCCCCGCAGGCTGTCGGATGGGGAGCGGAGCCGAGGCCTCGGCGCTACTAGTGATGTCCATCTGCTCTGCGGTGGACAGATCCATGGGCTGCTCCAGAGGAGACGGGAGGACGCTCTGTCCCACGCCGGGGATGAGGGGACTGCGAGACCAGCCCGGGCTGAGAAGGAAAGTAAGAGACTACAGGTTAGAGGCTGCAGGTTAACGAGTCATGCAAATAATCAGAGCTGCTGCAAACCAGCCGACAAACCTGAGAAGAGTCCTTGGGCTGTCCATGATGCGCCGAGGGGAGCGGATCTTTGGCTCGAAGGAAAACTTCTCCTTGATGTTTTCCAGAACTGATGGCGCAACGTACGTAAAACCCTGGGAAAACCACGGAGGAAGGAAACGAGGAACGAGCCTTTTAATTATGGAGATTTTCTTTTTTTTTGCACAACTTTCTGCAAACTTCCATACTTTTCTGGGCTCTTATTATGACATTTCTAGGTTTAATTTTAACCCAATTATACAGCACAAACATACGGAAAGCGTCAACAACCTAACACATCATTTGTCTTTTATGGTCATTTTTTGTTACATTTACCTGCTGAGCAACAATCCTGTTTGCAGAATGCCTCGCAATCAACTTTCCACACATTGCAACATCCCAACCACACACTTCAGATGCATCCCATTGGGAAGACAAACACAACAGAGCGCATAAATGTGAAGGGAAATCACAGAAGGTTTGCAAATTTTTACCAATAAAAATCCACGAAGCATTTCATTTATTTATTTATTTTTTATTTATCTCCTTTCACTGCAGTTACACCTGCAAGTGATTTGGATAATTTCTCTTCCAGCTGTTTACGTCTATGGATGCTAAAATGTTTATTAGCATTTAGCAGTTGGATTAGGTGAAAGGAATCTGATCATCAATTTTTTAAAATTAATTTTCAGGTGAATTTATCTCTGGACTTTGACTGGGTCATTTTAACACATGGAAATGTTTTTAGTTTTTTAGATGGGTCATTGTTCCAAAATTCCAATCAATTTCAAGAGGGTTCTGATAATGACCCAGACTAGAGCTTGAGATCCCTAATGTAGCTCTGAGCGGATCTTCAGAGACATGTTCCTGCTGGAAGCCAAAGCTCTGCTCCGATCTCAAATCTTGTGCAGCTTTGAACATGTTTTCTTCCAGGATCATTCTGTATTTAGCTCCACCCATCTCCTCGCCAATCCTAATCCACTGCCCTGTCCCAGAAAATAATCCACAAACTGTCACAACTTTCTCAGAACGGCGAGTGTTGCTGGTGTCCTCTTAGTACGACAGCATCGCCACATGATGGCGTGTTCAAGGTGACGCTTTGCACACACACGCAGGCGTTAAATGTTTTGCATTTGGATCGACTTCGAACTGACTGGTAGTTGTAATATTGACAGACTTCCTCCTGAGCTTTAGTTGAGCTGTTTGGTAGGTTTGCAGCTCTGCCAGACTCTTTCCATTTTGTCATTGGTTGTTTGAGCAGTACTGAATCAGATATTTTTCATTTGGTTACCACTTAGCAACTAGGGCTGCACTGGATTTTATTTAAGAGTATCGCGGCGCAGGGGCCTGACTACATACACCTGTCACACTTTTTACATTTTTTTTGTATATATTCATAAAGAAAACATCTAAAATCCTTTTCTTTCTATCCAGTTAATACAAGTGCAAAACAATTGGAGTTTATGACTCTAATGTGACAAATTGTGGAAGACTTCCATTGGAATAAGTAAAGTGGGATCACTGCATCTCTAATAATTCAGATTAAACTTGCTGCCTAAACAAGGCAGAAGTGAAGTAAAGTTATTACCAGGAAGGCTTGATTTGCGCTCTCGCTGAGGGTGGAGTCGTCAGGGCTGTCCACCGGAGTCTGGCTGGTGAACTTCGAGTCGAACTGACTCACGTCATCCGCTGATTGCTGGCCAGACCAGAGAGGAAACACGGGTTTGGGATTACGGCAACATGAGAGGTTTCAGCCAAAGCAAGCAGGAGATGATCCGACACAGCAGAAGGCTTGAACCTTAGCCTCTAACGTAGCGTTATTTAGGCACATTAGCAAAACACCCCACCAAATAGTAAAAGGTAATGAATGTCTGTTTATGGTTTTACTTACAAGGACAGGTTTGAAGGGAGGCTCCACTTTCCGGGCCAGTAGATCTTCCCAGTTGATGTGTCGAAAGAAAGAATGAGCCTATTGAGCACACACACAAAAAATTAGAATTTAAACAAGTTGGTCGCAAATCTCATAACAACCGGCTGAAGTTTGAGAATATTCTTTTTGCATCTGTTGCTCTCACCTGCACCTCTGTGGCGTCTCCTGATCCGGCTCCGAGCCGCGACGAAGCATTTCTCTTCAGCAGCTGTTCAGGCAGCGGTCAAATGTTAAGAGAAAAGCAGCAGGGCAAATAATCGTCTTCAAGCAGACGCAGGAGACCGTTACCCGTTTCAGGAGATCCCTTGCTTCCTGCGTGAGGTAGGGTGGCAGGCTCAGCTTACACTTCAGGATTTTATCAATGGTCTTTTTCCGGTTCTCACCTGTGAAGGGGGGCTACAATTAGAGAGGAAAGACCAGGGTTATTAACGCAATACCTATGCTTATTCACAACAGGAATAACCAAACTGGGCGCGTTCCACTGACCGCTCCTGTGAGCATGTCGTACATCAGAGCGCCCAGACTCCACCAGTCCACCGCTCTGTTGTGGCCGCTCCTCATCAAGATCTCTGGAGCCCTGAAGCACAGAGAGCCCACAGCGTCCGAGGCCGTTAGCGATGAAGAGTGCAACCGGGTCAGAGGTCCCAGAAAAAAACAAAAAAAAAACAACAACAAAAAAAATAATAAAAAAAAACACCTACATGTATTCGATGGTTCCACAGAAAGTGTGAGTAACCGTCCCGTCATGAATGGATTCTTTACAAAGACCGAAGTCGGTCAGTTTTACGTGACCTGGAGGAAAATCAAGAAATATTTAGATGCCAACATTTACGTGAATTAATTACACCTGCTGGAAGCTCAGCACTAAATAAAACTTTGATTTGAAAAGTATTCACACCCCTTGAACTTTGCCACGTTGTGTCAAGTTTTAATTTTTTAAATTACTAAAAGCTAAATATTAGTCAAAGAGAGACATGGTTCTCATATTTTTTTTATGAATAAAATATGAAGACTGCATTTCTATTCAATGCAAGAGAATGAATACTTTATAAAACAAGTAAAGCTGCAGATGTTTGGGGGTTTAAAGCATCTAAGAGAATTGTAGCTTTTTAGAATAGTTCAAAAGATGGGCTAGATTTGATGAAGAGCGTTTCAAGCAAATATTTATTACTTGACTCAGAAGTTTTATTAAATTTAGGGCTGGACTTTGACTAGGTCAGTGGTTCTTAACCCAGGTCCTCTAGGTCTTAGACGCAGCCCTGCTCCGGCACATCTGATTCAAATGATCCCATCCAATGCTGCAGAAGTCTGTTGATTACTCATTAATTTAAGTCAGGTGTGTGGCAACTGGAGAAAATGGTTTTTAATTTAAAACTAAACCAAAATGTTTGATCACTAAACCACAAATATGGTGCTGGTCTGTCACTTAAAATCCTGATAAAACAAATTGCAGACAGTACTTGTCGTGTTAATAATAATAATAATTAAAAAAAAAGAAATCAAGAAGCACGAATATTTCAAAAGGCTCTAAATGTTACGCATCATCCGGGACGGACTAACCTTGGCTGTTGAGCATGATGTTCTCGGGCTTCAGGTCTCGGTATATGATGCCTTTTTGGTGCAGGTGACCCAGAGCCATGGAGATCTCTGCGAGGTAAAAACTACAAGCAACAAAAGACTAAATCAAAGCTAATAATATCACACCAAACGTCACGTCAATGTGACATTAAAGCAAGCAAGGACTGTTGCATGTTTTCAGGTCTAAAAACAGTTCTGAATTTATAATCGTTTCAAACTAAATATCAGGTGTTATTGGCAGCCACAGTGTTAAAACTTGCCACAGGGGCAACACTTTGGTCGATGCAGTTCGGTTCGCCAGACAGTAATCTGTGTATGGAGCCAGTCCGAGCCGCACCGCTCAGTGGAAACGAGGCATCGGCCTCCTCTTTTCTCCAGATTGGAGCGTACAGAGAGAACAATCTTTGACCAGTTGTCTTTGCACAATCTCTGCAGCTCATCCAGAGTCCAGTGTCCCCCCCCCTTATGCTCCAGCTCACCTCACGTTCTCTATCAGCTTCCGGTCTGAAAAATTATATCGTCTTAGAGGAAAGTTAACTTTGTTCCTGCTGAATCATTTCCTACTTGGCCATCGTAATCAGTTTGAAAGACTACAATGTCTTGGAGTTTGTGATGCCAAGATGTTTAACAAGTTAACCCAGCGTTGGCCAACTTCATCACAAATCCTCTGCTATATCCCCAACAGCAGACATATGAGGGTTCTTAACATATTTATGTTTTGTTTCACATGAAATCCAGCTGGAGTTTTTGTTGCCGAGGAGCTGAATCTTATTCTGACCAGTTCTGATCAGCAGCACCAAAGATGCTTCTTCCTGACACATCATAAACAACCACTCAATTATTACAGAACATTGAATAGATGTACTCAAATTTATTTGACTTAAATGTTCCCATAAGACGCTATCACTGCAAGCTGGATTAACACTTCTACATGACAACTTGCTTGGACAAGTCAGAACCTTCAAAGGCGACTTCCTGTCACATGATGCAAAACAGAAGAACGGGGAACAAATAAAATAAAATCAATAATAATGTCAGCAGTAAATGACTGAAATCTGATGCCAAACAATCCTCACCAGGCTGTGTCTTCCATGAAGATGCCCTCTCTCTCCAGCTGCATGAAGAGCTCTCCTCCTGCACAGCAGAACAACATCTTAACAACAAAACAAGCAACGTGCCAGTTCTCAGGACGATCCAAAAAGGTAAAATGTTTCGAAAGCAACAACAAAAATAAATCATCAGCCTATGAGCTGCAAGTGCATCTTCCTCTATGAAACGCATTATCAATTCATGCTGCATTAATCTGCCACTTAAAGAGAGTGTAAGATTGCTGCCCAGGAACAATATGTACTCCGAGTACTTCTGTTGCTTTATATTTTCTCTGTTTACGCTGAAGCTGAAAATAAAATGGTTGCAAGCAAGTGATGTCACAGAAACATTATTAATGCATGTATACACACTTAGGCTCATTTACAAGAATAAAATGTTATAGACTATATGTTTAAAGACAAAAATAGCAGGTCTGGTGTGTTGCGTTTTTTTTTTTTTAGTGTTACAGACCACTGAGGTACTCCAGGATGAGATAGAGCTTCCCTCCCGTCTGGAAGGCGTAGATGAGATCAACGATGAAGGGATGCTTCACTTCCTCCAGGATGTTCCTCTCTGCCTTGGTATGAGCCGTGTCCTTAGCGTTACGTACAATCATAGCCTGGAGGCCGGAAGCACAGGGAAATAAAATCAGACGAAAAAAGAAGATATATATATATATATATATGAACGATATAAAGAAATGTGAGGTGATACGCACACACACTGCAGCATGGCCACTGGATAATTTCGACAGCTAAAACTGTCTCCTCTTCTGTGTTAGTGCCTCCCGTCCGCATGCTAAGTTTTATTTTGCATGTGCAGATTTTTTATTTTTTATATTTGGCAAAGTGATCATTATAAAAACTCCCCTCCGTTAATGCAGAAATTGCTGCAAGCGATAACGTCCTGTTTGCACAAGCTTGTAATTTCCCTCTGTGGAGTTCTACCACCTTTTGCCATCGTTGCTCTGGTTGTTTTAATTACATTTTAAATGTGAGTTAAAGAGTTATCAAAGAAACTATGACGGGACAGCACAGGTATCACAGCAGTTTTGATTAGACTGAGGTTGACTTTTCCACAAAAATAAAAAATAAAAAAAAAGTTGTGAAGCTGTGGCCTGAGCCAGGAATCATCTTTTAAATGCCTCCTGGCTCAGACACCCCAGAGATGGCTCTTTACCAGGCCTCTGCAGCCTTTTTTTTTTTTTTGGGGATGTTGAAGTGCAGAGTGTCCTGATTTTTCATCTGTCGACAGCCTCTGCTCTCTGCCGCTCTCCTCACTTCTGTTTACTGAACACTTCTGTCTGACAGCCAACGAGCTGCCTGTCAACAGCTCTGTCGTCTCAGCAGCGAGCGTTCAGAGCTGTGGTGGCAGGGACATTAGGGTTGAAGCTCTTATTCCAAATTTTCAGCCAAATTCACAAAATACACACACGCAGACCCAGAGGGCAATGGATTAAAGTTCTTATGTTTTACTACACAGTGACATTATAAGCAACACAAAACTGGCGGAAAACTAAGAAAAACATTGTGAAGCTCAGTTGAGAAGCTTCACTTCCGCTATAAACTCAAGTGTTTGTGGCTGGGGATTTTTGGACAAGTCTGGACAGACTTAAAATTTCATATGCTTCCACGTTTGTGAGCCTCCATCAGATCTTTACCGAAAATGCCGTTTTACGCTTTCCACTGTTAAGTTTTGCCACCAAAACTCTCTCTCTCCCCCTCCCCCGCCCCGAGCGTAACGTAGCAGCTCTTTAATGTGTCACCGAGGTCGTGCAAGGCAATCCCTCCGACATGAAGCTGGACCCAATGGGCTCGAGCGGAGCGTTTAAAGAGCCGAGGCTGCAGCAGAGCAGCTGGCAGTCTACCAACTAGCAGTGAAATCTTACCCCACCACTGACTTCAGCAGCAGCCCATATGTGCAGACAGAAGCAATATAATGTTAATTTATAAAGCAAACAGCGTGATTACATAACCAAAACTGCATCTGCGCTTTTGGTGAAATACAACTCAGAGGCAGACTGCAAAAGAAAAAATTTAATACCTTTTTTAAAACTTTCATGGCAAATATTTTGCCGGCTGCAGCTCCGACAACCTTCCGAACTTGGAAAACCTGCAGAGCAAGGAAAAAAAAAAAATGTAGAAAGAATTAAGTGTTCGGAATAGTCACACAGGCAGTTTGGGGGAAAAACATGGGTCAGTATAACATTATAGAGGCAAAATAATTCACCGCACACGCCGCTCAGACAAGCGGCATGTTCACTGGACTCTATACCTTTCCATAGCCGCCTTTTCCGAGCACCCGCAGCAGCTCGAAGCACTCTGGTCTGATGTTCTCCGTCCCCTGATTGACGTTGTCCTCGGAGATCTCGATCTTCTCACAGTCGTCCATATTGCTGCAGAGACAAATGTAAATAATTAGGCTTCTCTTTTGGACCATTTTAAAAGTGGTGACATAACTGAATACTTACAACTCAAACCCACTGCACTGATCCATGATGTCAATGTTTTGAGTCTGTAAGGAAGAGCAGAACACTGATGAGTAAAGGAGACTTTAAATACTTTATCAAAAAATGTGTTATTTTCTGTGCTATAAAATCATTTGGTCATTTTAAAACTTTCTTTGAAGTTTGGCTCTATGCCTGTGAAGTAGTTATATTTATGCACCATAACAGGCACTTTAAGAAAAAAAAAAAATAAAGATTTTTTTTTCCCTATGTGAAGCAAAAAAAGCTGCCATACCATATTCTTCATATCTATATTTTAAATGTTTAATATTGACTAATTCTGATTATTTTCCTCATAGAGAATCACATAAACATGAGCTTCTGTGAGACAGTACGTACTATAATGCTGAACTTTAGCCTTATTTTCATCTCAATGAAAAATAAACATGTCATTCAACAACTTTTTTTACAATCATGTCGCACTTTTTGGGTTAGACGGCTGGACAAGACATGACTGACAATTTAAATAGAGATCAATTTGTGCTCTAAAACTCAGCAATAGCCGTTTTCCTATCCCTGTATAAAGACAAGCTACTGGGCAGCCAGTCCTCAGCCCACACAGCCCCACTCTGTCACATTTTGCCAAAATAAACTGTTGCACACGGAGCCACATTTATCACTGCTGCACCTTTGGCCAAGTAAGGATGTTTTGCACAACCCGTGCGTGACAGCGACGCTGACAGCTCCAACAACGCATAAAAGTCAGTCCTGAACCGGGCTGTAAAGCCATAAAAAACGAAAGGCGCTTGTTTTGTTGTGTTTGCGGTCATGCTAATAGTAACAAACAGTTTGTGAGGCCCTGACAGCCCCGGCTGCTGCAGCCTGCAGGCCTGCCGTGGCTGCTGGCAGACGACCAGGCTAACGCAGCTAGCTACGGTGCGGCGGGGAGTTTCTCCTCTGACAGCCTCTGCTAAAGCACCTCATCGTTCTCGTCGTCGGAGACATTTTCCTCCGGCTGGTCCAGATCGATGTCAAACACTCCGGCCATGGCGGCGAGTCGCTCGGGTTGCTGTGTCACAGACCGCAGGTACAGCAGGCGTCCCCCACCTCATGGACAAACACGCACGGCCGCCATAACCGGCTACTACACCGAGCAGGCGCATTGCGACGCTCCACAAAGGGGCGGGAACGTGTTGTCTCATATACAAAGGCACCACTGCACTCAATACTAGTACATCTCCAAACACTTGAAGGCTGCGTAAAAGGGAAATATTTATTACCAGTAATCTCAGAAAGTAAAACTCTTATATGATAGAATTATCACATGGGGTTTCTTACAGAAAACTTGCTAAGCCCGGTGCTTGGGGCGCTAGGGCTGTCATTCATCCGGCTGGCATGAGTTAAAATGGTTAAAATAGACAGGAAATTTGAAAATATCACTTGATAGTTATGCATTATTGAAAGACTGTAAGATTAATACCTAAACACCAACTATAAAGTCTTTAAAAAAGGCAATGACAAAAAAAAAACCTAAAATAAATAAACAATGCCAAGCCTGGTGGGGATCACAAGTAAAGCCTGGTGGCCCGCCAGGCTTATAATACACTGGGGGGAACCCTGATCACACATAGAGCGGCATNAAATAAAATAAAATCAATAATAATGTCAGCAGTAAATGACTGAAATCTGATGCCAAACAATCCTCACCAGGCTGTGTCTTCCATGAAGATGCCCTCTCTCTCCAGCTGCATGAAGAGCTCTCCTCCTGCACAGCAGAACAACATCTTAACAACAAAACAAGCAACGTGCCAGTTCTCAGGACGATCCAAAAAGGTAAAATGTTTCGAAAGCAACAACAAAAATAAATCATCAGCCTATGAGCTGCAAGTGCATCTTCCTCTATGAAACGCATTATCAATTCATGCTGCATTAATCTGCCACTTAAAGAGAGTGTAAGATTGCTGCCCAGGAACAATATGTACTCCGAGTACTTCTGTTGCTTTATATTTTCTCTGTTTACGCTGAAGCTGAAAATAAAATGGTTGCAAGCAAGTGATGTCACAGAAACATTATTAATGCATGTATACACACTTAGGCTCATTTACAAGAATAAAATGTTATAGACTATATGTTTAAAGACAAAAATAGCAGGTCTGGTGTGTTGCGTTTTTTTTTTTTTAGTGTTACAGACCACTGAGGTACTCCAGGATGAGATAGAGCTTCCCTCCCGTCTGGAAGGCGTAGATGAGATCAACGATGAAGGGATGCTTCACTTCCTCCAGGATGTTCCTCTCTGCCTTGGTATGAGCCGTGTCCTTAGCGTTACGTACAATCATAGCCTGGAGGCCGGAAGCACAGGGAAATAAAATCAGACGAAAAAAGAAGATATATATATATATATATATGAACGATATAAAGAAATGTGAGGTGATACGCACACACACTGCAGCATGGCCACTGGATAATTTCGACAGCTAAAACTGTCTCCTCTTCTGTGTTAGTGCCTCCCGTCCGCATGCTAAGTTTTATTTTGCATGTGCAGATTTTTTATTTTTTATATTTGGCAAAGTGATCATTATAAAAACTCCCCTCCGTTAATGCAGAAATTGCTGCAAGCGATAACGTCCTGTTTGCACAAGCTTGTAATTTCCCTCTGTGGAGTTCTACCACCTTTTGCCATCGTTGCTCTGGTTGTTTTAATTACATTTTAAATGTGAGTTAAAGAGTTATCAAAGAAACTATGACGGGACAGCACAGGTATCACAGCAGTTTTGATTAGACTGAGGTTGACTTTTCCACAAAAATAAAAAATAAAAAAAAAGTTGTGAAGCTGTGGCCTGAGCCAGGAATCATCTTTTAAATGCCTCCTGGCTCAGACACCCCAGAGATGGCTCTTTACCAGGCCTCTGCAGCCTTTTTTTTTTTTTTGGGGATGTTGAAGTGCAGAGTGTCCTGATTTTTCATCTGTCGACAGCCTCTGCTCTCTGCCGCTCTCCTCACTTCTGTTTACTGAACACTTCTGTCTGACAGCCAACGAGCTGCCTGTCAACAGCTCTGTCGTCTCAGCAGCGAGCGTTCAGAGCTGTGGTGGCAGGGACATTAGGGTTGAAGCTCTTATTCCAAATTTTCAGCCAAATTCACAAAATACACACACGCAGACCCAGAGGGCAATGGATTAAAGTTCTTATGTTTTACTACACAGTGACATTATAAGCAACACAAAACTGGCGGAAAACTAAGAAAAACATTGTGAAGCTCAGTTGAGAAGCTTCACTTCCGCTATAAACTCAAGTGTTTGTGGCTGGGGATTTTTGGACAAGTCTGGACAGACTTAAAATTTCATATGCTTCCACGTTTGTGAGCCTCCATCAGATCTTTACCGAAAATGCCGTTTTACGCTTTCCACTGTTAAGTTTTGCCACCAAAACTCTCTCTCTCCCCCTCCCCCGCCCCGAGCGTAACGTAGCAGCTCTTTAATGTGTCACCGAGGTCGTGCAAGGCAATCCCTCCGACATGAAGCTGGACCCAATGGGCTCGAGCGGAGCGTTTAAAGAGCCGAGGCTGCAGCAGAGCAGCTGGCAGTCTACCAACTAGCAGTGAAATCTTACCCCACCACTGACTTCAGCAGCAGCCCATATGTGCAGACAGAAGCAATATAATGTTAATTTATAAAGCAAACAGCGTGATTACATAACCAAAACTGCATCTGCGCTTTTGGTGAAATACAACTCAGAGGCAGACTGCAAAAGAAAAAATTTAATACCTTTTTTAAAACTTTCATGGCAAATATTTTGCCGGCTGCAGCTCCGACAACCTTCCGAACTTGGAAAACCTGCAGAGCAAGGAAAAAAAAAAAATGTAGAAAGAATTAAGTGTTCGGAATAGTCACACAGGCAGTTTGGGGGAAAAACATGGGTCAGTATAACATTATAGAGGCAAAATAATTCACCGCACACGCCGCTCAGACAAGCGGCATGTTCACTGGACTCTATACCTTTCCATAGCCGCCTTTTCCGAGCACCCGCAGCAGCTCGAAGCACTCTGGTCTGATGTTCTCCGTCCCCTGATTGACGTTGTCCTCGGAGATCTCGATCTTCTCACAGTCGTCCATATTGCTGCAGAGACAAATGTAAATAATTAGGCTTCTCTTTTGGACCATTTTAAAAGTGGTGACATAACTGAATACTTACAACTCAAACCCACTGCACTGATCCATGATGTCAATGTTTTGAGTCTGTAAGGAAGAGCAGAACACTGATGAGTAAAGGAGACTTTAAATACTTTATCAAAAAATGTGTTATTTTCTGTGCTATAAAATCATTTGGTCATTTTAAAACTTTCTTTGAAGTTTGGCTCTATGCCTGTGAAGTAGTTATATTTATGCACCATAACAGGCACTTTAAGAAAAAAAAAAAATAAAGATTTTTTTTTCCCTATGTGAAGCAAAAAAAGCTGCCATACCATATTCTTCATATCTATATTTTAAATGTTTAATATTGACTAATTCTGATTATTTTCCTCATAGAGAATCACATAAACATGAGCTTCTGTGAGACAGTACGTACTATAATGCTGAACTTTAGCCTTATTTTCATCTCAATGAAAAATAAACATGTCATTCAACAACTTTTTTTACAATCATGTCGCACTTTTTGGGTTAGACGGCTGGACAAGACATGACTGACAATTTAAATAGAGATCAATTTGTGCTCTAAAACTCAGCAATAGCCGTTTTCCTATCCCTGTATAAAGACAAGCTACTGGGCAGCCAGTCCTCAGCCCACACAGCCCCACTCTGTCACATTTTGCCAAAATAAACTGTTGCACACGGAGCCACATTTATCACTGCTGCACCTTTGGCCAAGTAAGGATGTTTTGCACAACCCGTGCGTGACAGCGACGCTGACAGCTCCAACAACGCATAAACGTCAGTCCTGAACCGGGCTGTAAAGCCATAAAAAACGAAAGGCGCTTGTTTTGTTGTGTTTGCGGTCATGCTAATAGTAACAAACAGTTTGTGAGGCCCTGACAGCCCCGGCTGCTGCAGCCTGCAGGCCTGCCGTGGCTGCTGGCAGACGACCAGGCTAACGCAGCTAGCTACGGTGCGGCGGGGAGTTTCTCCTCTGACAGCCTCTGCTAAAGCACCTCATCGTTCTCGTCGTCGGAGACATTTTCCTCCGGCTGGTCCAGATCGATGTCAAACACTCCGGCCATGGCGGCGAGTCGCTCGGGTTGCTGTGTCACAGACCGCAGGTACAGCAGGCGTCCCCCACCTCATGGACAAACACGCACGGCCGCCATAACCGGCTACTACACCGAGCAGGCGCATTGCGACGCTCCACAAAGGGGCGGGAACGTGTTGTCTCATATACAAAGGCACCACTGCACTCAATACTAGTACATCTCCAAACACTTGAAGGCTGCGTAAAAGGGAAATATTTATTACCAGTAATCTCAGAAAGTAAAACTCTTATATGATAGAATTATCACATGGGGTTTCTTACAGAAAACTTGCTAAGCCCGGTGCTTGGGGCGCTAGGGCTGTCATTCATCCGGCTGGCATGAGTTAAAATGGTTAAAATAGACAGGAAATTTGAAAATATCACTTGATAGTTATGCATTATTGAAAGACTGTAAGATTAATACCTAAACACCAACTATAAAGTCTTTAAAAAAGGCAATGACAAAAAAAAAACCTAAAATAAATAAACAATGCCAAGCCTGGTGGGGATCACAAGTAAAGCCTGGTGGCCCGCCAGGCTTATAATACACTGGGGGGAACCCTGATCACACATAGAGCGGCATATTCTAAGCTCTTGTTTCTTGTAATTTTGGTGATTGTGGCTTTACAAATAATGAAAACTAAAAATCCAGTGTCTCAAAATTAGAATACTGTGAAAAACGTCATTGATGGAAACTCATGGTGTCACACCTTTATCCACTAATTAAGTCAAAACAACTGAGGTTGAATGTTTCCTGATACTAGATGGTCTTTCACTCTGTGTTAGTAGACAGTAGACAATCAGTCTGACTGGATAGACATTCAGAAGAGAGTCATTGATGCTCTTCACAAGAAGGGTAAGCCACAAAAAGTCATTGCTGAAGAATCTGGTTGTTCACAGAGTTCTGTATCCAAACATATTAAAATAAAATTGAGTGGAAGGAAGAAGTGTAGGAAAACGTGCACTAGCAACAGGGAGAACCACAGCCTTGAGAGGAGATTCATCTGTGTGTCCATTCCAGGCGCTCTGAATAATGCTACCATTGTTGCATTCCCCATGTCAAGTCACTCCTGAAGCAGAGACGATGTCAGACGTGTCTTACCTGGGCTAAGGAGAAAAGGAACAGGACTGTTCCAATTGAAGGTATCAATTAAAGCAACCTGGGCTTCCATTACACCCACACAGTGCTACATGCACTGCAGTAATTCATACAAAAACAGGCCCAACCAAGTATTGAGGTCTCATGCCTCCTCTGTCTCATGTCGCTCAAACCATCACTGTGTCAAGGCACAGCATGCTTAGATTGGGATCGGAAATCCATCATTCTTCCTTGCATTCATGGAAATGTAAAGTGCTAAAAACATAATCAGACATCAAACATTTCAAAATTGTCGTTATGAATAGACAGGAAGAAAGGCTCTCTGAACAATGCTAATTTTTGACTACAAATGTGGTCTTGATTAAACACTAAATTTGTCTGTATTATGTTTTGTAAGGCTATAAACAGAATAATAATAGTAAGGGGCTGGTTAAATGAGGAGCACGCACTTAATAATACAATATATTTTTATATTTTTGTTTTTCAATCAAGCAAGCTGGAAATTAACTATGTCATGCGTTTTTATGCTAAGAAGTACACCTTAAAAAGAATTAAAAAAACATCGTGTACTTCAAATGATATTGAGTCTGTATTTTATTTTGAAACGGTTGACAGTTTCAGCCGGAAATGACGTTTTAACTACGAGCGCCGCTTCCAAAACACAGCCAGGAGTCTGCAAATGGAGCCGAAAGTGTCATGATTCAGTGACTTAGACATCTCACAGGTCTGATCATGTCTGTGGTGACAGTCCAGCTGGGTCAGTGCGGTAACCAGGTGGGACAGGAGCTGTTTGACGTCATGTGTAGCGATGCTCGAGACGTCCACAGGAAAACGTACAGCGCGGTCAGCTGTGAGCGCTTCTTCCGCCAGACCACACAGGGAGGTAAGCAAGGCTCCGAGATGACTTTAATGCGGATGATTGCTGTAATGTGGGCGCGTCTTTTATACAGTTTGTGTGTGTCAGCCCTTGAAGCCAGGGCGGTGCTGATTGATATGGAGCCCAAAGTGATCAACCACAGCATGAGCAAGGCTGCGAAGTCTGGCAGGTGGAGGTATGGAGAAACTTCCCACTTCAGCCAGAAACAAGGCTCTGGAAACAACTGGGCCAATGGGTGAGATGTTAACCAGCCACATGAACTGGAATGCCATACAGTGCATTTTCAACAGAATCACACCCTTCAACATTTCCCTGTTCGAAACTCAAACTTCTATGCAGGGTTTCCCCCAGAAAGAAGAGAAAAGCCTGGTGGCCACCAGGCTTACAATACACTGAGGGAAACCCTGTTCTATGTAATGACTGCGATTTTGTGAGAGGCCAAGGCAGTGCGTAATTGTGAAATGTACTGGACATGATGCATGGTTTTCATTTATCTACTTATTTACCAATAAACACATTGCAAGCTCTCTTTTTGCGAAGTAACTCAACTCGGTTAAGTTGGACGGAGAACGTCTGAACCTCAATTTTCAAATTTTAACACAGATTTCAACTGCATTTTGTTGCGGGGTTTGACGGGCATGGACATGCTTTGTTCTAACCTGTTTCATTGTTGCTCTGGCTTTGTGTTTTATTTAGGTGTATCATAATGAACAGAAACATTTAAAAAAAAAAATAATTTTCCTTACATTTCAAAACAATGCACTACCTACGTGTTAGTATATCACACATTTAATGGGTTTAAATGCTTTTGGAAAGCATCATAGTTTGCCTTTCATCTTGAGACAAGAGGAAGTTTTCTCATCATACACGCATTTTCATCCATCCAGGTATTGCGTCCTTGGCCCTCGTCACAGAGACGCGGTGGAGGAGCTGGTGAGGAGGCAGGTGGAGCATTGCGACATGCTGGCGGGGTTCATCCCCATCATGAGTGTCGCAGGGGGGACGGGCTCAGGAGTCGGTACTTTCATCACTCAGTGTCTCAGAGACGTCTACCCATCGTCGTTTGTCCTTAACCACCTCACCTGGCCATATGGGACTGGGGAGGTATGCCATTATTATTTTACTTGTTACATTCATGTAGAAGAGCAAGGCTTAGTTGTATTAATAAATAAATTCAATCTGCCTTGCTGGATGATACCTTTAGGGTCAAATCCTGACTGAGAATAACATCTCCCCGACTTAAACTAGAGTACAAACTGGAAATAAATAGGAAACTGAAATCATAACCTTACATCCATGTTCATCCACTGCAGAGTCTTTCATGAAGTCATCTCTCCACACTCCACTCTTCCAGGTGATTGTCCAGAACTACAACTCGGTGCTGACGCTTGCACACCTCTACCAGCTCTCTGATGCCATCCTGGTGCACGAGAACGACATCGTGCACAAGATCTGCAGTCAGTTGCTGAAGATCAAGCAGATCTCTTTCAGTGACATCAACAGGGTCATCGCTCACCAGCTGGGTGGGGTGCTGCAGCCCACGCTCACGCCCGCTTCCTGTGGAGCGTACAGCAGGCATCCTATTGGTAAGGGCAGAACACTCAAGTTTTATACGCGGTCAGAAAGGCTTGAGAATTTGATTTCAGTATTCAGTTTCTTTCCTTCCAACCTTGTGTTCTCCCTTCCTTGAATCCTCCCGCCATTCCTGATGCGTCGTCTTTTTAACGGATAAAAATCTACTCTTGCAAGCACAATTGCTATAAATTCGCAATCAGCTCTCGCATTTTATATTTTTGAAATTATAAGTACTCTGGAAAGTTGAGTTCAGAAAAGTAAGGATTTTACATTTTAAGAGCCGTGCATGCTTTTCTCAGTTGTAGTTCTACTAGTTGATGTTTAAATTGCGTGTAAATTGTTCCATAATCCACTTGTTACTCTTTTCGATTTTCAGGTGAGCTGATGAGCGCTCTTGCCTGCCACCCAGAGTACAAGCTGCTGAGTGTGTGCACCATCCCCCAGATGGCCAGCTCCTCCATCGCCTTCAGCACCTTCAGCTGGCCGGCGCTGCTCAAACACCTGCGGCAGATGCTCATATCCAACAGCAAGATGGAAGGAGGTGAGATTTATAGCTAGTTCACTCACCACTGGTAGTATAAAAAGGAACGCCTATAATCACTGGGTTGATTTTTTTTTTTTTTTTCTTCGTTGTAGGTATAGATTGGCAGGTCTGTCCACCTCCAGCCTCAGCGGGGGGGTCCAGGAGTCTCTCAGCTGGCAGCTTCAACACCTCCCTGGCCAACCTGCTCATCCTGAGGGGGAAGGACGTCTACAGTGCAGAGACGGGTCAGAGAACACGGCTGAATTTGATACGGATTCATAAAGTGGAAGGAAAAATTATTTATGGTTTTCTTTCACACTGAAGTTTTGCATCCATGTATTGAGACCCATTAACTCAGACATTCATAGATAAAGTCCAGAGAAACAGCTCACTCCAGAAGGCATCTGCTTTATAAAGGCACTCCATCTTTGTGAAAGTCATATTTCAAGGAGAATACTGTTTGGAGTTGCAGTATTTTCAAGGTGAGATTAGGTCATTTGAGGCCAACTTGAAATTGTAATTAAGATTTTGTGGCACATTTAAAAACTGATGTTCACAGAGATGCACTGTGTTCAGTCAAAGAAGTCTGGGCCAACAAATCAGTCTAGATGTGCAAAGGATTGAGAGAAATTATGAAAAAAGGAATGAAAGTGTACTCTTGACTAGACTGAGGCCAAAAAAGTCCTTCCAACATTTATCGATATTGAAAATGTTGAAGATTCGTTTGGTAAAGGCAAATCTTTAACAGGTGTGAATTCTGTTTTAATCCCCAGGGGGATTTGAAGACCCAGCTATTTATACTTCCTGGCTTCCACCAGACGAAGCGCTTAGCTTGTGGAAATCCCCCGTTCCCTTCAATAAGTATGAGAAGTCTGCAACACTGGTTAGCAACAGCCAGGCTCTGCTCAGACCTCTGGATGACATGGTGAGGAAAGCCTGGAACATGTTTGCTTCCAGGTAAGTCGGACTTGAACAGACTTGACTAAATACAAACTTCAGTTTCATAATTTCTGTTCATCTCAATCCAGACGAATTAGGTTAAATAATTAGTCTGGATCAATGGTATTTTTTTTTTTCCTGCAGGGCCTACATCCATCAGTACATTAAATTTGGGATCTCAGAGGAGGATTTTCTGGACAGCTTTACGTCTCTTGAGCAGGTGATCTCCAGCTACTCTGAGCTTCAGTAGGTAAACTGAGAGTAGCTGTGAGAGAGCAACACAATGGACTGATTTTAACTACATTATTTATTTTAGTAGATTTTTTTACAAAAAATTGTGTAAATAAAATAATTTGCTTTAGGAACAGTGTTGGAGTTAATTTCTTCATACCTTCATGAGTGGTGATTTGCTGAAAGGTTTGATTTTCACAACCTTTACTCCTTCAACTTAAATCTAAATATATATATATATATATATATATATACACACACACCTTTAATGTCCAAGACTTTTGCTATTTTATAGCACAATAAAATAACTGTAACCTTCAGTTATAAAAAATACTGTATATATCAAAAATAACTTAAAAGAAAATTTTCCAATTTGATGCTTTGAAATTGGGCCTCTGTCTCTCTTCAGGAAGCTCCTGCTGTTTATGATCACAACTATTGTCCCTCATTGTGCTGTTTGCAGCTGCTCTTAGGCATGTCGGACTGAGAAGAGCTCAGCAGACCTAACCCTATACAAGATGAACAAGCTCACGAATGTGGAAACCTAAAAGTACTGATGAACCTGAAAGGCAAAAAATGGACAGAAACAAAACAGTCAGGATCTTTGGTAACTCACTTTATTTTATTTTACACAGTAGAACTGGGCAGACATGACAGCAGAGCAACAACGTGACAGGCAGGTCACCTCACATCCAACAACTGGATGTGTCGTCTCAACATAGGTTGAGCGGCTGAAAGGCCCACAGCTTCAGCCAGCTTACAGACCGCTGTTGCCATGGAAATGTGACCGCCAACACCAGTCTGATAAGCTAGCTGACGGGGTGGGAGAGTAGTTTGGGGATAGTTACAGAGCGTCTTAAAGAAAAGAACTGATTTCATGCATCAAGAGTCAGAAACATCTTAGCTGGCATAAATTGAAGGTTATTTATTGGATTAATTAGTACCAAGAGCCCAGTCAGGCTGACAGTAGTAAGGAAATGTTCCAGTCATGTTACTAAAATTTGATCTGGTTACTTACCTTGTAGGTGCTCAGTTCTTTGAGAAAATTATACATTGAAATCATGACAAGAGTAGAGCAGTTTATCAGGATGAACACTTAGGAAAGAAAACATCAAAAAATAAGACTCGGACTGAAAAAAATGTCAATTCCACATTTTATATATGATCTGACCTAAATGTACAGAATAGAAATGGGACCATTTGCTGAGATTACAATGTTACTGCCTTATTTTCTCTTTTTTTTTGTATTTTGGTTCTTGTTCACAGCAACAACTGGAATAGAAACACATCTGATCATACAGTCAAAAAATATATTTACACAATGTGCAAACCGTACATACCCCACTTTATAAGTTGATATTGCTTTTTTTTTAACCCTCCCAATCACTTTGAGCTGACGGTACTAGAAATTAAAAAAAAAAGTCTGAATATTTACCAGAAGAAAAACATGAAAACCCTGAAAAGAAACATTATCCGTTTGCAGTTATCTTGGCAGCACATCGCAAAAATAAAATCAACTCCCATCCATACATGTTACATAATTAAATAAAAATCAAGTCCTTAAGTCAAGAGCTATACTCAAGGGAATTCAGGCATTCCCAACTTGCATAAGGCATAGCATCTGATGGGCGCTGCCCTCAGCATAGCAGCTACCATCAAATCACCGCTTTACTTCTGAGGTTAATGAAAAGATTAATTTAACGTTAAAGTAACATCTTAAGACCGCTAGCAGGAGTCAGTCACGCTACACTCACGCAGAGTGAGATGAGAAGAAGAACTATAAAACTCGACAGAAACAAAACACAGCACATACATCCTCGATAGCACAAGCGCAGACTCACTCACACACACACACACACACACACACAGGCATTGAATGCCTCTGCTTCTTTTTCATCTTAATGCCTTCGGCCTCTCTGAGCAATGAAGATGGGTGAGGTTCGTTGGTAAGTTGTGAGCAGCAGCTGCAGAAACACAAGTCACTTGGATGCATGAGGCGCTTTGCTTCGCCATCACTTGCTCTTCTCTTCGGAGTGCCTCAGCTGCTGGAGCCGTTTGGCGTAGCTCTGAGCCATGGAGTTGATGATGGAGATGACAAAGTAGCAAACCATGACAAGCACCACCTTCTCAAACACCCACGACAGCCAGTTCTCATCCTGGAAAACCCCAAATGGTACAAAAATATGGTATAAGTTGCACTCATTTCTGCAAACCAGATTATGAGTAGACAAAACCAGCTGGTGCTGTACTTATGTGTGTTTATGAGGCGAGGCTAGTAAAACTGTGTGTTTGTACTTTCTTCTAAGTAAATTATAATTTCTTTTACAATATTTATATTAAACAAAATGCTGGTGTGAAGGAAAAAAAATACGTGCCCACCACACAATGTGCCCACCAGAGGGCGATATGTTTAGAATCAGAAACTGGATTTTAAATACTTTACTTTAATCTGTTTAGAAACATTTGCTATGCACATTTCTAAACTCTGACAGAGCTACTCTGTCCTAACATTTCCTAATTTCGTATATCTGTCATATCAAAGCCTCCCAGGTTTCACGCATTAATAGAGGGGAAAAAAAGAAAGGATTGTAGAAAGTAAAAGCTAATGTTCTTACCGCTGGTCCATTCTTTCCAGCATGGTGCAGCTTGGTCTTCTGGGCTTCCAGGTACTGACTGAAGGGCTTCTGGAGTGATGGTCCTATTGTAGGAACAGACCTGGAATAGCAAAAGTGGAAAAAAAAAAAAAGACTTATAACTCACCAACCAAGCAGTCCCAATAAAAACTTTGAAAGCTGGAAATAAAAGTCCTGATTCACTGGGCCAACCAGCAGCATCCGAGGCCCCATCCTACAGACGGGCCCCGTGCTGCAGCTGCCACCACCTCTAATTGTTACTGTGAGAAGGAGTAGGCAGCAGAGAGGAATGAAGCAGAAACTCCTCTGTCCTTCTTTTATATTCTTAAGCTCTCTATAAGAGTCTGTGTCAGCCCCCTTCAACCAGGAAGTGAGTCGACATGATGTCATCACCTTTACCACCACTGGTGCTTTCATGGTGGAAAGACAGCCAATCAGTGTCTGCTAATTTCCCTATTAGGCAGGAGTGGAAGCGCTCACCGGGGGCCAGTCATAACGAACACCGCTTTAACGCTTCCTCGAGTCAGAGGTAGGGTTTGTTGAGGTGGCTCTCTACATGCTGGTAAAGTGAAACGGAGCTTGAATGGAACATCTATCATATCGCCAAACTTATAATTACCCTCAACGGAAAGAAAAACTGCTGCAGCCTGTAGACAGTCCTCCTGAATTCAGCCAGGATGTAAACATGTTGTCTGGACTTGACTAGACTAAGCAAAAGGAAGTGCGATAACAAGCACCAAATGCGGAGAGGGTAATTCCTGCTGCTGAATAACACTCAACTTGAGTGACTCAAGGTTATCTCTCCAGCCTTACACACAAACAAACATGATTTTAGACAGACATGAAATTAAGCGAAATACCCATATCAGCAAAAGGCTCCATTTGTACAAATCATAGCGAGTCACCAGGGATGATCTTCATGGGAAAGAACCTTGTAAGCAACTAGAGCAGGAAAGAAAATGTTTTTTTTGTCTAAATATGGTCAAAGTTACTAGCTTGCTGATTCATATTGATGACCACGGTTCTGTGAATTTGTATTTGCGTGGTTTTTCATGTTGAGAACTCACAAACTTCAATATAATTCATTGGTTTTTATAATGTTTTTCTATGGGTTTAGTGGACTTTTATTCAAGCTTGACAGGAAGAAGTGAGAGAAGAGGAAGGCATGCAGTGAAAAGCCCAGGGCAGGGAATTGAACCACTGACCCAAGTGGCACCCCATTTACTGGGTTTTTAAGTGGCAGACTAAAAGTTTATAGTTTTAAAGTGGAAGATTTTTTTTTTTTTTAGATATAAAACAATATTGCAAACGTCTCATAGGACACATTATACAAAGATTCAAAATATGGAGGTGGAAAGCTGAATCAAAAGTGGTTGTAATGGTTTAAGAAGGTTAAATCCACTTCTCAGATTTTAGTTGTAAATGAAATTAAAAACCAGGCATCATGTTTCTTCCACTTCACAATCTAACATCACTTTATGTTTCTTTTTCACACAAAGTCACACAAAGAGTTGTGGTCAACTGCTGCAGAGCACTTCATCTTTTAATATCAGTTCACAGTTTTAAAGTTATATGAAAGAAATCTGCTTGATGAACAGAACTTCCTGAAAAAAATTAAAAACTTTTGCTTTTATTTCATAAAATAAATAAATAAATAAATAAAAACCCCAGCTAATCCTAGCAGCTGTATTGATTCTGTTGCCTGAACAGCAGGCGGGTCGTTCAAGTCTGTGCTTGCGTTTCCTGCCTTGTTCGATCATCCCGTCAGTCAGAGCTGAAACCCCATGAGTCAAATCATCCTGTTTTGAATGTGACCTCATACTTTTGGCCAGCAGTGCAGCAGAGATGGATTGCATGTGTGTGTGGGGGTAATACCTTGATATCTACTCCTACGCAGTGAAAGCGTTTATTCATATGGGACCCCATCCCCCTCGACCCATCAGCAGTCAGAAATGCATGGGAAAAAGTTGACGAACGCATTCCTAACCGTAAAAACCAAACCAAAAGACATCGGTTTTACAAAGAAAAAAGGTTTTTCAACCGTTCTCACACACTTACCCGATGAGTGACACCATCTGCTCCACTATGTGCTTGCTGAAGGTAATGATAACAAAAAGTTTCTGTGGAGGAAAAGATACTGATCAGCATTTTTGACTGACAAAGTACAAAGATTTCTACAAAAGAAATTCACTGGTTAAAAAAACAAACAAACAAAAAAAAACAAAAAACAATTTAAAGTCTGTCTTTTTGACAGAACTACTGTTGAACAGCCGAGAGTCACTGAGGCTTATAGACACCAATTAGAAAACTCAAACCTGGCTCTTAAGCAACATTTCAGGCTGTGAGGGGGTTTGTGTGGTTTGCAAACAACCAAAGCAGAAGGGCGGGGGGCACAAAACCACATTATTTTCCCCCTCCGGTTCTGAAACTGATCAGCTTTAAACGGCATGACACACAGCCCCCCTGGACAAGATCAGACAGGATAAATCATGTGATGTCTGAGAAGTTCAAGGTACAGAAATGGGTCTCCCCTGCAGCTTTTAAAGTCTGCTCCATTTCCTTTTTACCTTCTCATGTCCACTCGGTGTGGCCCGGACCCCCACTCCCCACCCCACAGGAAGAGGTGACCTTCTCGGGTGAGATCACTGACTGGTACCACCAGGAGATGGGTTTGTTCGGTTAGAATGGCGAGTCACTTAGAAAAAAAAACAGACAGCCCCTCATTGTCTAGGTTTATATTAGTCACTGGTGTGAGACTCTCAACTCCACTCTGTATAATTAAAAAAATTATTTTCTGATTGGCTTTTTTGTGTCATTCCAAACTCTTGTTAAAAACTTCTTCCGAAGGTTTCCTCCTTTCATCTCGGAGCCTCTTTAAGAGGTCTGGAAACTTGCTACGGCTAAAACAAGACGAAGGAAAACCCCAGAGGAGCAGCTCAGCCACTGGTGAGAGTCAACCAGAAGTGCACAATTAGGAGTTTCATAGTAACCATCTCATGATCTCAGCACACGGCTTCATCTTTCCCACAACCCTTTGAGGTTCTGGAGATTTATCAAAACACACCAGTCAGCAGTGAATCCTTTTCTCCTAAAGTGTAATTTCTGATATGCTGTATTGTGCTGTGGTTAGACAGCCGTGATGAAATGATTCAAGAGGATGAATCATATCAGAAGATGTTTCTACGAGGGTGTGAAGGTGTGCCAGTATCGTTTCTTAAGAACAACGGAACAAACCAGAGCCAGAGCTCTGAACCACCTTAGATGAGCCTTTCATCTGCTCCACTGACCTGTATGTGCATCTTGATAATGGCTTTCCCGATCAGAGTTGCTCCAAAGAAAGTCCAGAAGGGAACCAGGAAATGCCCACAGGTTATTCCCGCCAAGTCAAAGAGAGGATTGGGAATCTGAAAAAATGCACAAGAAAATTAACTTCTTTCATATCAACACAATTTAGCTCAGTAAGAGTGACATGATGAAAATAAACTCATGAACCTTTTCATATTTCATGTATTTTTTTTTTTTAGATTTTTTTTGTGACACATAATTGTCAATCATGATGGAAATTTTTTTTTCTTCCAAATTTTAATATCTGTAAACAATCGTTTTCCACTGCGAAGAGAGAAGTGCCGAGCCGAACAAGGCGGCTGTTCGTGTTAATTCAATTTTTGGAATTGTGTCCAACACAGACTGATTGGCTTTCTTCACTTCCTCCTCTGCCATTGCTAAAAACTACAGGCAGGCTGCAATTCTAAAAGAGCATAGGAAATGGACATCATCCTTTAAGACTTCTCCTTCTGTCTGCCGATTGGCCTGGTCAATAATCGACTGGACGGAATCCAAGTGAATGGGAGAAAACCCAGATCGTACAGTAACTGAGCAGGAGGACAATGGCCAGCCTACTTGTGAGTAATCAGTTGTTCTGTTTAAGGCCTCATGGTTTGTGAACAAACCACTTAAGACCAGAGAACGCAGCAGATATACCAGGGATGAAGTCTGAGGATCTCAAGAAGAACTTGAATGAAGGAAAAGTGCAGCACAAATGCAAATCTGGCTTTTAGCAAGAAGATGAACATTGTTGAACAAAAGGCATCAGAATGTTTGCAGTTTGCTACGTTGAACATATTGTAGCCGGTGTGTAGGATGGAAGGATTATTGAAGAAAACCTGTTAGATGCTTCAGAAGAAAAGACTGAGTTCAGAACCGTCATCCAGAGCTAAGAGGTGACGGTTTATATCAGTACTTTCATGTTAGACCGGCTCAGTGAAATTCAGAACTGGACTGGAGCAGCTGATGTTCACAGACGTCTTTCATTCAATCTGCGTGTGTGAGTTATTTTGGGAACAAACATGGACATAAATTTATGTAGATGTGCAAAGAGAGTTACTCTACATGACTAGCAGCTGCAACTGCTGACGAAGGGAGGTGGCCGAACACATCGACTCATGGAGACTGAAAATAAATCCACGCCACAATTTTCATATTTTTATGTTTGGCAAAAAGAGAACTGTACATATTTTTCCTTCCTCTTAATGTGAGGTTAAATACTTTGTATGTCAACTAAAATATGAAAAAAAAAGAAGAAATCTCTCTACTTACTGAGGCACAAGCCAAGATTCCAAAGAATCCCACTTTTTGCACCATGTGCTGAACTCCCAGTTTTGCTCTTGTAACAAAATCCTGCAAAGCAAATTGAAAATGCATTTTAATGTGGGATTGCAGTCAGACATGACTAGATACATTTGTAAGACTTTCACAACCCATGTTATTTTAAATCTTTTTATTCAATCACACATATTTAACATATAATTTAAGATCTTTGAAAACATAATCCCCCTTCCTTTTTTTTTTTTTTTTTGCTTAAATAAATCAATGCACTTTCTTGTGGTTTTTATTACACCATTTTACTGTAAGAGCATAATGAGGAACACGAGCCTTGGTCAAAAGGTCTGTGGTGAACTATCTCCTATTTTAGAGCTTTGTAATTTTTGCTTTTCTTCTCTCCGTTTGGTGACTCTTGTGGCGTTTTGCTCAAATCTGTGTGGTATAAAAGTGCCACAGCTCTTCTGATTGCATCTGTACTCCTGCAGGGGGGTAAAACTCTGTGGTTTTTCTGTAAAGATCACCGCCGGAGCAGGAAGGCAATTAAGAGGCCGTTTGAAAACCTGCTGGCACAGTTCAACATTAATTTGGAAAAAACAAGTTTTTGTTTTTTTGTTTTATAACAAACACACATGCCAACATTATTAAATACATTTTTAATTCAGGTCAGTTGATAAAGTTGGTTTCTCACAGAATTTACCGCCACAATTCAGAACGTGTGGTAAATATCCGCCAACTTTCTGAGCTCGTTTTCCAATTAAATATATTTTTATTGTTTACAGAGAACATCATTATTCTGTAATTTTCCTCAACAGCGGCTCATCAGCCAGCTCTTCACTTCTCACACTATAAACAGGAGGAGACGGTGAAAAAACGCAGGTGCAGGGATCCTTCCACGCGGTGAAGTGGGACTAAGTGATGGAGACAATGTCTCCAGTTTTTGGTAATCTCTGTCCTGCTGACTCAGCATCTGATCCAAGCGTTCTCCAGTCATGTGAACTCTCTTCCTGACAGCGCTGTCTGTCATTCAAATTAGAGGCCGGTGAGAAGAGCAGAGGGAGATGGAGGGAGGCAACGAGAGCGAAGCCCGAGGGATGATTAAAGAGGGAGCTGAGCTCGGGGTGACTCACCCACGAACACACAGATTTACTGGAAGTGCAGGGAAGGAGGGGCTGCGCTGAAGTCACACGCTTACTCAGGACCAATCAGAGGCCTGCTTGGCCTTGTTCCTTTGTTCATTTAGAAAATTAGGGCAAATTAAATAAGAATCATATCTTACTGAGGTGATGAGTAATGAGTAAATAGCTATGATGAGGGGAGAAACCACACAGATAAAACTTAAACATCAGTTTAGTTACAGAGCTTTAGAAATGAAGACTAAAGAAAAGAAAGCCAGTAGCTGTTTTAAAATCAGTAAGAAATAATATACATCCACTGAGATAATATACAAAACAATAATATTCACGCAACAATGTAGACAATATTCTAAAAGAGAATATTTATAAGCAATCAAAAACCACTTCATAAACATGAGCGTTGATCTTTCTGACCTGTGCGTCCTCTGCTTGCTCGAGCATCTCCTCAAATTCCTCGTAATCCTCATCATCTGGATCAGTTCCTGACTGACGAGCCGCTCTGGCCATAAAGTATGGAGGCAGCTCTCCGATGGCCGTCCCCGCGCCCTAAACAGACACAGCTGCAGTCGGTGTACATTCACATTTTTCTGATTTGTTTGCACGTTTGACCAGTGAAACTGTCAGGTCTCTCTTGTCGCGTCCACCACTCACCCACATGCAGGCCTCCAGCCGGACCTTGGACATAATTGAGAAGATGGAGATGCTGTCCTCCAGGCCTCCGTCTTGGGGACAGATGATCTGGTCGGGGTACGGAGGCTCTGGGAAGTCTATGGATCCACATTCATATGCTGCCAGGGTGACTGAAGCTATGTGAGGACCCTGAGAGAGAAATCCATGAGACCGAGACTTCAACATGCATGGAAAATGTCGGGAAATATGAAGAGCTTAAATATGGCTGCACAAATGATGCCATTCATGTTAGGTTTTAGGTTTAAATAACCACAGAAACAACTGCATCTGCTAAAACGTCGTAAGTAAGTTTCCACTAAATAAGCAGCGGGCACTAACAGCAATTCAACTATTCCCAGCTTCCTAGGCTCTTAGTATTTCTGATGAAGGGCCCTCAAGTTTCCTTCCACAGAGAACATTTTAATTTTCTCAAACCTTTTCAGTAAATTGTCTTATTTAATCAAGTCCTTCCAGTTTGCAGCTTCCCACCAATAAGTATAATTCTGATTGATCCTTTTTGAATGGTGAGCTAACAGCATCCACCCTCCCACAGAGACACACAGATTGGAGCCGAGTCATACAATGAGTCTCTTGACAGGAAGATCATCGTTTGTCTTTAAAGATTTCTGATTAAACTAGCTCACCTGGCCTCACCTGTGCAGCTGGCCCACCTGCATGTAAAGCACAGATAATCCTTTATGGCTTCAACACTGACAGGCAATGGACAGGCCACCATAAGCCATTGCTGACAAAAAAAAGCCTTCAGCTCAACTGCAGACACACATGACGATTCTTAGGTCTCACAACACACTTTTTCAAACCAAAGACTTGATTTATCAAGAAACAAGCAGCCAGTGTCTGACTCTAATAAAAGGAAAACAATTAAAACAAAGGAGAAAGGAGTTTTCCTTAATGAAACCGTCACTCCCAGTTACCAAGCACAGATCCGGGATTTACACTCAAAACAGCACTTTATTAATTCTTGCAAGATTGAGGAAAGCAGACATGAGTCACTGAGACTCAGAGTCTGTTCAGCCTGTTCTAACTGGTCAACAGAGTTAACATCTCATGACAGAGTTAACGCTGGGAGGCCTCACGTGAGGTTTCTCCCCTGAGGTGGGGGGAGGCAACAGACTGTCTGTATCGGATCAGCAGCAATGTCACTCTGAGAATGGTGACAAAGACCGAACTCTGACCCTCAGGGAGAGCGTCATCCTTATCCTAACGGGGTGAAAATGCATTGAATGCAGACGTCTGACAAGTCAAAAAACATCTTGATATAAAGGAATCTCTTAGAAACATCAAAAAAGTGAGATCAGATGCATCCTTGATGCAAAACTTCTCCCACACAAACAGAACGTCTGCAAGTTTCAGAAAGTTAAATGTAGAACTTAATTTCAGATCAGGAGCCATTATTTACAATTAACTTATATTATTAATCATTTCAACTTCCTTGAAAACACAGTTAATACAGGTATCATCTTGTGTTCTGTGCTCTAGCATGAATGTCTGTTGGTTTAACACCGTTTTAAAGCCTTAAAACACAGGATACTGTCAGATCAAATCTGTTATGAACAGGTGATTTATTTTTCTTATAAAAATTAGATTAAATACACTCTCTGCTGATCAAGGAGCTGTTTAAGGTAACAAAAACCTTTTGATTTGCACTAATGAGTCAGCTGCAGGAGCAAAAGTACTTTTGCAGGCTCCCAGGGAATGTCTGGAGATAAAATCTTCAATAAAGTCTTTGATAGTTTTATCACAATCTGAATTCCTCAGCTGAAGCCCCAAGACATGAAAATGAATCCTACCAAAAAAAAAAAAAAAAAAAAAATTAAAAACTATTTAAGGGAAAGAGTAGTTAATAAACAGTTGTAGAAATCTAAGATGTAGGTAAGTTGAATCTAAGATATGGTGTAGATTAGCAGACATTTAAGGAACTGAAATGAAAGTTATTAATTTGAGACTTTGGTAAAAACAAACAAAAAAAAAAAAGGTCATAAAAAGGTCAGTTTTCTTCAAGGTAAGATATTTGTTGAAGCATTGGCAAAACAACCTTTTTGTTTTTTACAACTCTTACTGTAATATTTTTGGTAATTATTTTAAATATATATATTTATGTATACTGTAGTGATAATCTGACAGTATTTCAATTAAACTTGTGTGAAAGACTGACAAAAAAATAAGATGCTTCATTTTTAAACAGACATAATATTTAAATGTCTTACACAAACATATTAAGTAGTACTAGAGGATCAGCACTGAAACATCATGATGAATCACCATGGTGATGACCAAACCCCATGATCTAATCCTCTCCATGGGGCTCCTGGATTGAGGCAAATCCACAGAAACTGTGTGTGGTTTACATTCAGATTGTCACATGAAATATAAATAACTGTGACTGTGACACGGTTGCATTGTCAAGATGAAGTAAATCTAGTGCAAAGAAAAAGGGGAACTAGTCTCGTGAGAAGCAGCCTTGTATCATGTGATAAACTTTCAGTTTCTCAGTGAAGGATTTAAATAGTTGCAGTAATTTGGGGACAGTTGAATGTGTGTAACAAATCAGGATATACAGTGAGAATCATTTTAATGGACCAAATCAGTTTGTCCATATGTGACCTTTAAAACAGTTTCCAACAGAAGAGATTAAGCCCAGAAGCTGTATAAAAACGATATAATTAAATTTAATCTTTTTTTTTTTTCCAGAAAGCTGATGCTCCAATAAGGAGATTGAAATGTAAGGATAAAATGAAAATTTATAAAAACAAATTCATAGTTGTATGTACAATAATTGGCAGAAAATCAAAGAAGACAGAACTGGACAAAGAAAATTATCAAGATGAAGCCATATTATATATATATATATTTTTTTTTTTTTTATTAAACCAACTACATGCAATAATACAATATGATTAATTGGACTTACTATTGCCAAGTATGTATCAATGCAGTTGCTTTGTAACTGCTGTAAACACATTTGAATTAGTTTTTAAAGCAACATTTATGCTTGAAAAGCTCCAGACTGAAGGCTTTGATAGCTGTATAGAAATTATAAACCGTTTTGAATAAGATTTTTTTTATTGCAAGAAAATACTGTTACATCTTTGTCAGTTCACATCACCTGCGCCTCCCTTCTGATTATATACAACTGAGTGTTAATCAAAATTTTATTAGAAAGTTTCTTAATTAATTACCAGAGTAGAATACTAATTATGTTATTTTAGTAATAAAAAGTAAGACCTTGAAATGATATAATCTACGTAGTGTTGCAAAGCCTGACAAATGTGTTTTGTCTCTGTACCCTCACGATGTTGATGCCATGATAGAGCTGTTGCCACTTCTATTTTGACCCTTTGAACACAATGTACCATAAATAATGGTTTAAGGACACATAGTGAACATTTGTTAGGAACAACAAGGTGTTTTTGTTTGTTAAAGAAATTACACAGAAGTTACAAAGACAGACTTTATGACCTTTGGAGAGATGGTGCAGTGGAAACATGAGTCAATTCCAGTGGAACTGCCCACACCTTGAGCCTAGGCCCTGGTGGTAAAATATGATCTTTTAATGAATGATTTTGTGGTCAAACTTAAAATAATATAAAATCAGTTAACTGGCATCAGGATGGTGCAAAGGTATGTGGTGATGATACAATTAATAAAACACAAAGTTGAGAAGAATTGAAGTCACACTTCCTCTGCATTATGGAGCAGATGCAGAACCAAAAGCAGACAAAAATCCCCAAAACAAAACCTTAAGTACCTGAATGATGAACGCAAGTAAACCAAGACAGAAGAATGAAGTGAAACAAATCCAAACTGATCCTGATCAAAAAAATATTAATGTTTAGGATATTTCTGAAAACTGAAAGGTCACCCATGTGGATTTCTTATGATTTGGTTGCAGTGGAAATAGTAAAGGGAATTGAGCAGGACCACATGTTGGACACTGAACACCTCAAAGTGGACAAGCTTTGCCAACTTTCTTCCACTCTTTAATTAAGCTAAAGTCTACTTCTGACCACATTTAAGAGAAATGACACACACTTCCAGTGACTCGGTTAATGTAGTCACTCTCAGACAAGCGTCAGCGGGCAAGCCAAAGGTCCCTCCCTGTTAACCTTAGATTGATGGGTATTTTGACTCAGACTGACTTATTTCTGGGTTTGGAGGATGGCGCCATCATCTGGCAACAACAGGGATAGGCTTATAATAGTAGTAGTTCTGGTTATTCTCAAATATCTCCGAGCTTGGTTGCTTTGTGTCATTTCAGTCCAAAAATAAAGCCACTACTGAGTAGGAGATAGAAAAAGTATACATGCTAAGCCAAGAAGATTAGCCCTCCACTTCTCACTAAATGGACGTCATAAAGACTACTATGGCAATATTGTTAGAGTTAAGGTTAGTTCCTGAAAAGGTAATATCTTTTATTGGCCTTTAGGATAACATTCCAATGCTTTTCAAGCAAATGCATATTTGAATATCAAAGTTGAGAAATGGCACTTTACACATCAAGTTTATTTAACTTTTTCATGAGTGAATCTGACAAAACAGAAATAAACATCTAGAAATGTGGACTTGTAGGTATTTAAAGTGTAAGCTGTTATCAGTAAAGCCTAAAGGTATTCTGTTATCTTTACATGTGTATGTAAATTTAAAAGAAAGGCCCATTTTTCTTTGGAGCCGTTTTCTGTTAAAAATGTTTTGCATAACCAGGAACATGCCATTGATTTTCTCTTACCAGATAAAGGAGGAACGTGTGCAGACCAGTCCCCAGTCCCACAGAGGACAGGATCCCCAGGCCCACCCAGTAGGCACACCACAGGACCTTCTTCTCCAGGTACTGGACATACTGTCAGGGAATGATAAGAGAATGAAAAATAAATACTTCAGGAAACAGAAAAGTCGGTTGAATGTGGGATTGTGACGCAACGTATTCCTCAATGATAAAGTTTCATTTAGATAAAAAATACAAATGAATTTTTTTTTTTTAAGATGGATACAACTTTAGTGTTCCTGTCGAACATTTCAAAATATGAAGTCCATTTAAAAAAACGAGATATTATAATCAGATAACATTCAAGACATTTCTAGAAGTTCACAGGAGTGGGATATCCCAACAAATTCACCCAATGTCGGGAAGTGCACCACTCAGAGAAACTGTAAGAAATCCAAGAGTTGCATCTCAAACTCTACATGTAAAATGTTGCTCATGACAATACAATTAGAAACAGTCGGAACATCAGGTTCTCAAATGAAGGCGTTTCCTCCCTCATAAAGAGAAGCTAACATAATTTAAGTTTGCAGAGTTTGATCTGAATGGGACTCCTGGAACAACGACCGTGGGATATGCGAGGCAGAAATGTTTGGACATAACACGCATCATGTTTTACAAAAACAAACCCATAAATACACCTCACACCAACTGTCAAGCATGGTGGTGGGTGAATGGTGATTTGCCAGCTGTGTGCTTTCTGAAAAGACCAGAGGGTTCAAGTCAACACTCTGCTGTTACACCTCAGTGACCGAGTGAAGTCTTCGCAGACCTTTATCAGCTGACCTGCGTAGGAGTGAGACCTCAACTGTGTGATGATGACAAAGGGCCAGAGTGATCAGTCAGCTGGGGGAGTTGCAGCAAAAACGCACTTCGCCCAGGCTGGTTTCTCACTACTAACACATTGAATTGTGCTGAAGTTCCCCAAGACAGAAAAGACCACAGGATTTCATGAAATTGTTGTGTCCTCAGTGGTTGTGATTCTTGGAAATAAAACAAAACTAATAAGGTGTTGCAAGCCATTGGCAAGTTTTAACTCTTTAGAACTGGGAGATATACGACTCTAAAATGTTTTGCTGGATGTAACTTTATACTACTTTGTCAACTACTTGATATTCACTCCTTTTAACTCATTAATTCTCTGCAGCGCTTCTCTGCTTTAACTGAACCTCGACAGCGAAATGCACTGATTAACCCGCAAACAAAACTTCCAGCCAGCTATAAGTGTGACCAAAGGTTACTTGCCAACAGTGTTCAGGTCATAGTCTATCTACACAAGGTTTCTGTAAGCAAAGTCTAAGATGATAAAAAACCGAATTATCATCAACTGTTTCACAGTTTCCGATGAGGCAGTGGAGTTCATTTATGTTGCAAAAAAACAGAAAGTAAAGTCTCACCGTTTGGTGTGATCCATCAGTGGAGTAAGTGATCGAGAACAGGAAGCATAACAACAAAAATACAAACACTGTGCCTCGCCGGTGCCAAAGCCTGTGTGTAAAAACAAGAGAACAAAATGATCAGCTTCCAAATATGCTAGTTGATCAAGTATAACCAGTCTCTATTAAACAGTCTTATGACATTAGTTTTGTTTTCAAATTGGATTAAAATTAATCTAGACTGCATTACTTTATCTGTCATAAATATTTTTGAGCTGTCTAAAAGGTAAAATGTAAAAATAGTACAAGGTCATCAGCGGCTGTGACTGATTTATCAGCAGGAAACCTCCGAGTTGTTTCAAAAGGAAATAAATATGTCGCAACTACAGATATGTACCAGCACAACCTCAACAGAGCAGTGCAAAAGCAAAGACCCAGTAGCAAAACCTGTTTGAGGCTTACTCAAAAGTCCATTCCTTTAGCTTCACGAGGGTCTCCAGAAGAAAATAGCGTAGAGTGACAACTGGCCTCCTCCACAGCACTAGAGACAGACGATCCTCCTTGTCTTTCTGCCGTCTCTCTCTCAATAACAAGTCTGAAGGGCAAACAGAGCTTGAATCATCTTGAGTTTCAGTACAACTAATAGGCTCATTAACTACTACATCCTGTGGAACTGCTAAAGCCAAATACATAATAAAGGTTGTAGCCAGAGGTCTGTCTCTTTTGTTGTCATGCGGTGAGTTGTCAACACGGGTTAAAAACTGAAAGTAGCCCGAAATGAAACTGCTGAAGCAATTTTATGACACCGATATGAGGCTGTTGTTAGCAATGAAAACACCAGTGTTAAAATGAGCTAAACTTTTTAGATCGTCTTCGGCCCTTAAACCTTTCCCACTAACCTGTGGACTTGCCGTTCTGTTTATCTTTGGGTCCTGCTCGTTTTTGAGGCTGCTCACAGCTTGCTCCATTGGCTGCCATCTCACTGTCACAGTTTCTAGCTGTTTAGGCAGTCTACAAGGGAAACAGACGAACAAAAAGCTGTTAAGTTTCGCATTCATCGGGGATCTTTGTGTCCAAGCAGAAAAAAAGGAACAGTCTGTGACGGGACTCCGTGGAGGAGTAACATCATAATTTGCGGCTCTTGAGCAATAACCTGTCAAAGTATAAAGCCGGGTAGCTCACGTTTCTGTTCGTGGCGAAAAAGATAAGAGAGAAGCCACACAAATAAAGACAGATGAGAAATATATTACCAAACAGACTTACAAAAATAACGAATAAAGCTAATTGGAAGAAACGTCTCTTTGTAGGTCAGTCTGTAACAGGATACGAAGTCAAATGCGCTGATTCCACAACCGTCCACATGCTAACCGGCTAGCCAACAGGGACACCGGAAGCCTTTACATTTAAATACGAGCTGTACATTTAATTACTACTCACCTTGTTTGTAGATTAACATATAAACTTATACTATACTATAATAACAAGAAAGCAAAAGAAAAAAAGGTGATAACCAATTATTTTTGGTTAAATAAATCAGTACCACCGTACCTCTTTCCTGTCTTCTTCACCCGGAAACACAAATCTTGGACGTGTCAAAATAAAAGCTAAACTATATTGATTCTCAACCAGTTAAATACTTAATATTAACAAAAACGAAGAATCAGTTTTCCTTTTGAATTTAAGATCTTTGATTTTTCAGGTGGGACAATTTTGCTTCAAATTGCAAATATTACAAAATAAATGAAAGACGTGTTTCCGTTATAAGCATGTTGCTGTCCAATAGGAAGCTGACAAATTTAGTTGGAAAATGTAACCATGACAACGCAAAGCTTCGTATGTCTTATGGTGTGTACCACCACTTGCTTAAACTATATATATATAAATAATTATTATATATCATTATATATAATACTTTTTATTTTATATATATATATATATATATACATACACACACACACACACTGATAGGTATTTTTCTCAAACCTACATAAAAAGACCACAGACAACGTATATGAATTTTATAGACAAAGCTTTTGCAAAAGGAGAACTCTCCGCCACTGCCTGACAGGCCGTTCACAGAGAGTTCTGGTCTGCTTTCGCGTGAGCCCCTGTTTTATTGTCAAGCAGAACAGCCAGAAAAAAACAACAAAGGTCGTAAAACTTCTAACCTAAACAAACCAGCAACTCAGTTCCAGGTGTGATATCTGATCTACGATCTGAGCCCAGTTCAGCTCTAGGTCAAACTGTCAACAAAGAGGGAGGATAAACAAGAGACAAAATTCGACTACTCACAGGCAGTTAGGAGGTATTCTGGTTGATAAGAATTAAGGTCTGGGAAACACAGAGTTAACTGTTTCACATGAAGATGAAACAGTCAGTCGTAACCTCCAGGTCAGTTTATACACACATAAGGAAGATTAACATTAGACTGAATATGAACTAAAGTAATAACAAAATGATAATACCAAAAATCTCTATCACACACACTCAAATAAAGTTCAGCTACAAATTTCTAATGGGCTTTTCACCTTTGTTACATTATAACACACAGTCCCAGCAGTGGTGTTTCAAAATCAGTCTCATTTACTCCAATACTTCTAACATTTTATTCAGACACAGATGAAAGTGCGTCTCATTCACAAACAAGATTACTGTACAAAAGTATACAGTAAAAATGTGAATTTCAGATGTACATCTCTTTTTTTATTATTATCCGTTAACTAGACTTTTCAGGAAACAAAATCAAATGAAACACAATTACACATTTTAAATTACTGATACACACATTTTTCAAAATGTATTTTGACAAACAAACTTGTCACCCAGCACTAATCAGATCTACCAAATAAAAAGTCAAATATTGACCAAAGCAATGTTTTGAGTTATTCAATAACAAAAAGTATCAACTGTCAAAATGGCCTCCAAAATTGATCTGTAACTGCAAAAAACGTGTTGATGATTACAACAAACAAAAAGTGCAATGGTTGCCGTAATGTTGCATAAAATGAGATTTTACTTTAAATCACCTACAGTAAAATCGAAGTTCCACAACAGCTGCTGCTTAAAAGTCTAAAGGTATTGAGAGCTGTAGGAACCATAAGCACTGGCTCAGCAGATGGCTTGTTCTGTTCCTGGATAGCAGTCCAAGTTGGTAGTGATATGTTCATCCTCCTCAGTTGTGTGTCCACTTTCATTCATCATAATGAAGAGAGGAAAGGAACTTATCCACATCCAAATCGTGGGGGAAACAGTCAATAAGTTTCTTTCTTTCCTGAAAAGTAAAAATAGAAAACGACATCAGGGGTTGGTTACACACAAAATATACTCTTCTGTGAGGTGGGTAGTGGAGGATAAGAAGGCTGGATAAGAAAGGATGAAAACAAAGTAAAGAAAAATAACATAAGAATGACATGACAAAATATACACAGAAAAATAAAACTTTTTTGAGAAACCGATTTTGTTGTCCTGTCAACTAGCCAACACACAACGGTGACTCGAGAAGAGGAAAAAACAATTTTAGGAGGAACTAGGAAGAATATATAGACCGGTAACACTTAAATTACATAACGCAATCTACAATGAGACTCAAACCAGCCAGAAGGTGCATTGAAACCAACAAGCTCTCACAAGGGTAAAAGTTTGATCCTTTAAAGTTTTCTACATATATTCACGTTGCAACCAAACTTATAAATGAAACCAACCAGCACAAAGTAGTAGATAAGTGTGAAATAGATCAAACATGTCAGTTTTTTCAGTTTATTTTTAACAAGTAAAACCTTAAAGAGTGCGCTAAAGATACAATCATACCTACAACGGAATGGTTTAGGTCGGGGTGTCAAACTAAAGTTGTCAAGGCTCAGTGTGCTGCAGGGTTTATTGGTGTTCTTGCTCTGCCACAACTCGCTTACAAGGCTGAATTACCTGTTCAGCTTATTACCCAACTCTGCATGACGTCTCAATGATCCACATTTTGTTTCAGGCATGTTGAGCCAGAACGACATCAGCTCCTAAAGCTTATTTAAAGCTTGCCTGGCTTAGAGCACAGCATGTAGCCTCGTCAAAGACCAGACCTAGTCTCAAAAATTATTTTTCACATATGCCCTTAAGCTTAACATTATTTTACAAAGAATGGGCAAGACATGCCAATGTTCAAATGTGAAAATCTGTGGAGGCAATCCTCAAAAAATACTGATAATGAAGATTACACTTATTTTTGTTTCCACAAATTATGGATGCCTTGAATCCTTTGCCTTCTTACATGCTACATTTTATTGGTCCGTCACATAAAAGATCAATTTATGAGTATACATTTAAGCATCTTACGAAGTCAGACACATCTCAAATGTAGTTGTAAATGTCAATAGAAATAAATTTTACTGACTTTGTCTTTCTTGATGCTGGGAGATCGTTTCCGCTCTCTCTTGGCGGACGGACTCTCTCTGACTGGAGACTGCTTGCGTTTTTTACTCTTTGAGCTTGACGGTGATTTTTCTCCGACCTCCTCCTGGCGCAGGCTGTCCTTCAGCGGCGTGCCCGTCCTGGCGATGGCGGCACGAGAAAGAATCATGAGGGTGTGTGCGGCCATGTTAATGCTGTTTTCACTCCCGGCTTCGCTGGCAGGGCTGCAGGTCGGCACATCAGGGGTGTTGGGAGGCAACAGCTGCTTCGGAGTCCCCTCTGCATTTTTAGCGTTTTTCGGACGGGAAGGAGTCCTCTGACAATCAGCAGCCGCCTCACCGATGTGGTCGGACCCAGAAAGCATATGGTCCGAACTGCTAACTATGGCTTTTCTGACCGGAGGAGGAGGAGAGCCGAGGCCTTGCAGCATTTCAGCGGCCTGCTTGGCCAGAGAGCTAGTTTTTGAAGCAGCCTTTGTCGGCTTGGCCTGTGGGGCCGCTGGAGGGCTGAAGTCTCTTGATGCCGAGGATGAAGGAGTTGATGGCTGCTGTTTGTCTTGTGAGCCTCCTTTCATTTCATTCTCCTTGTTCGCTCTGATGTTTGGATTCTCCTGAGAGGAAGTCCTCTTCTCCATTCGTCCCTCACGTGATTTCAAAGAAGCCTTCTCTCCAGCCTCCTTCCTGCTGCTGCTCTCCTCGTTGTCCTTCCTGCTTCCTGATCTGAACGAAGAATCGGATGACAGCGACCTGGAACCGCAAGCATCTTTAGCTTTTGGCCCGTCATCATCAGGTCTGTGGAAGCCATCGACGGACGCCTCCTGTGGCTGAGACTTCTCAGCTTCATTGTCTGTTCTTGCATTTTGAGACTCTTGGTCATGAATTATGTGCATCTGTTTGCGAGGCGTCTTCTTGACAGAGTCTTTCTGCTGCGTTTGTAAAGAAGCAGCTTCTTTTAGCAAGTTTGCTCCTCCTGTGGGATCTGTTGAACATCTGACAGTCTCCACTCTCCTCTTAGGTTTGCTGCTACCTAAAATAGCCGGTTTTGTTCGACCGCCTGCTGGCCTATTATCTCTCTCCGTCGGACGGGTATGTTGTGTTGTGTTTGAAGCAGAATGTGTTGGAGTCCCAGCTGTTCTGGTAGTTTGGGATCGAACCTCTGATGAGGAGGAGTCAAAACATAAAATTCTCCGATGACTGGGTCCACTGGATCCTTTAGCTGCTTCCCTCTGCTCTGAAGGTTTAGGCTGAACAGCAGCAGCAGTCACAGTTTTCACACATCCTGCAATCGAGATAAAAACAACATATTGGAGACGAAAGACAGTGAAACATTAAAGCTGAAGGCACTCTTCCAGAAACTTAAAGCTGCAACGTTACCTGATTTTGTAGACTGCTTAGGTTCGATAGTGGTGGGCTTTGGTTTTAGTTTTTCTCTTGTCTGTGTAGGTTTTGGGGTTGTAACATCAACTATCTGTAAATATATAAGAATAACCAGAATATTAAAGTTTTATTTAAAAAAAAAATCCCCTGATGAAACGGTAAAAATAAAGTTATGTTACCTGATTGGAAACCACTTGGATACTTCCCATTGTATTCTGCCCCAAAACGGAGACAGGAAGCACAACAGGCTTTACAGGTGATGGTAATATAAGTGCTGGTCCTGCAAAGAAAGCAAATGGATTCAGGGTTTTAACTACAGCAAGAAAACAAAGATTAAAGTAATGAGCGACATGAGGAGTCTGCACCCTGTGGTGCTTTAATCTCTTTTAAAAACTCATGCCAATAATGATAAAGAGCTCAGAGGTGCATGCCTATATGCACGTTATTTATTATTATTTTATTATTTTCTGATCCAGGAAATGTTTTCATTTTTTCATTGTGAAAGTTGAAAAAATCTGTACATTTTACAAAGAAGGTTTTTAATGAATATTTTCTTTTCTTTTCAAGTTTCTTGACAATTTGGCAGCTCAAGACCAATTTTATTTTGTAGCAGCAGGGACAAGACTGACTCTTTGGATCGTAAATGTCGCTGAACATTAATTCCTGATAGTTTTCCATCATAACACTCAAATTTCGATTTTGCTGCAAATTTGAGTACAAAAAGTCTGACTTCATGTAAGTTTTAAGATCTGTTTTTTTTTTGTTTTTTTTTAACAAATAAAATTGGGATCTTAGCCTTGACTATGTGGTGTAGTAAAAGGCAATGTTCACTAATGTGTGTCCTTTTTGATAAAGGAACAAGGAAATTTAGTTTGGAAACTACAGACTTTCTATAATGATTTATTTCCTCTGCTTATCCATGCTACAAATTTCAATAGTTTTCCAAAGTTGCATAATGAAGCTGTTTGTAAAATGTGGTCAATAAATAGAATAGAAACAGGGGAAAATTCAGGTTTACCAGCAGCAAAGTGACACACAGACTCACACAGTAAAAAACATAAAAATAAAAACAAAGAATAACTGACATTACAGTAAGCAGCACATGTAGACACACTGCTGTACCTGTGGAGTAGCTTGGTGTAGCGACTCCATGCTGGCTGGTGGGTAAGGGTTGTCCGTTTGGGACTCCAGCTGGAAGCAGCACCGGTCTGGCCTGAACGTCTGGAGTTGGGACCACCAAGAAATAACTGGCTGGGGTGGGTGGGGGGTCCACAGCGGACTGAAACACATATCTCTGTTGAGCCTGCGATGCTGCACTGACTGGAGACGTGTACACTCCTCCAGGTTTACAGACGAAAGGACTACCGCATCCCTCTGACCGCTGTAAGCTGCTCACCGCCTGCGCGGCTTCATCGAAGTTGGCTTTAGGAGTAGCAGGACATGCAGGTGATTTTGCTGGCAAGGAAAGGTAGATGGTGGGTATCTTGTCTCCGGAAATACTTGAAACCGCCTGATTTAAGGCAGCGTCTCTGGAAGAATCCCCATCCTGGTTATCGCTGACGATGATCTCCAAAGACACAATGTTGCTGGGCTCTCCAGGCTTGCGTGGGGAAAGAGCAGGAGGAGGAGGAGGAGGAGGACTGGGCGTTAGGGTAACTGGAGCACAAGAGGAAGAGGATGCAGAAGAGGCAGAAACAGGAGTGGAAGCAGCCGTGACTGGAGCAGCTGCAGAATCAGATGCTGAAGAAGAAGACGGCACAGAGCCAGGAGGCACCGTTAGACTGTCTCTACCAGAAACACACACATCAGGCTGGCTGGGAGAGGTGTTGTTGACCTGGACCTCATGCTGATCACCAGCAGCTGCTCCATCAACTCCATCAGCTGGCTTGTTTAGTCCTGTCGCCTGTGGATGCTCAGGGTTTCCGTCAATGCTTGAGGCTGGTCTCTCCTCAGCGAGCAGAGCTGCGTCTCTCGATAAAGACCCTGAATTTGAGAGTGTCACTGGGGTGGACAAACTGTCCACAGGTGGGGGCGGCGTGTTTAGAGGCTCATCGCTTTCCATTTGTGGTCCACTGTTCCCCGATGGGTTTTCTTTCCTCATGGAGTTCCCAGCAGCGGGTGAGTAGCTGACTAACAGTCTGGCCGAGCTGTTCTCAATCCTAGACGTTCTGCCGTTCGAGTCCAAAATGGTTTTTCTCAACAAGGTGGATGCAGAGGATTTTCTGGTTTTACGCTCCTGCCCAGCTCTCGCCTTCGGCGCTCCTGATGTTGCATCTAAAGTATTTCCATCATTTTGGGAAGGACCTGAAGAATAAAACAAAACAAACCTGACCGATTATCCATGTTCTTGTTTTTGTGCTCTAGACAAGTCAGTAAAACCAGAAATAAAATAGTTTCAAAAGAGGAAAAATAGTCTTGACATTAGATTCTACTTTCGAGAATAGCTATAACTATGGATAAATGACGATAATAAAGTTCTGAAAGATTTACCGCCCACTCAGACCCATATTGACCAGTGTTGAAAGAGAATGACTGAATACCTGGATCGCTACTTTGGAGGACCTGGACAGCAGGTGGGAGTCCAGTCGTCTCATTCTCTTCAGAAATACAAGCAATGCTGCCGTCCCCTGCGTCTCCATCAGCATTTTTAGTTTTATCTGCAAAATTACAAAAGAATTCTCAATACGACTTTCTTATCCATTTAGAAACTTTGATTCTGATGCAATTTAAAAAAACAACAACGTAGCGGATAGTTACGGTAATCAAAAAGGTCAAAGAGGGCCTGAAAAGCCGGGTCAGATTCAGTTTGCTCCAAAATGTCATGGATGGCATCATCGCTCATATGGATTTCTCCCTGATATTAATAATAATAATACGCATAAAATTAAGGAAGACAGTGTGAATTTAGGAACAAATAGTGCTCCGTCAGATGTTTTAGTACCTCTAGTCCTAGAATCTCATCTATAGACTGGTCTGGCTCCACTGTACTTGAAGAAGCTTTGGATGTTTGTGGTACTGCATCACTGGCATCAGGCACACACAAAAAAAACATGTTTAAGTACAGAAATATTATTTTAAGTCTGCTTAGTAGGTATTATCGTCACTATCAGCTTTGTCAAAATACTGAAAACAGATCATCAACATACCTGGCAAGGATTTTGTTGATGTTTTCAGCAAGTTTCTCTTGCAGTGCCCTGTCCCCCAAAATCTTGTCACGTGCATTTTGTATCACGAGTTGCTGTGAAGATTTTAATGTTTTAAAAGTTAGACACCTTCAGGGGAAGCTCAATGTGTGATGTTTCAGCTGGGGCTTTCATGCACAGGGAAAATATGCAACATGTATCAATGTTTTATATGATACGTCACAGAAAGAAAGAAAAGAAAAGAGAAAAAAACAGCGATAGCAAGAGATGGAGAAAAACATTTAGACAATGGAACTTAAGTCTGAAAAAAATATATTTTTTCCCACTCCATTTTATTATTTAGTTTTCAACTATTTCTTTGTAAAAGAAGAAACAAGCTTCTAAACATAAACTCACTGGAAAATTCTCCTTGACGACCTCCTCAGGCTGGGCGTCTGCAGTGACGTTAGTGGCAGCCGTGGCAGATTTACTGGGCCCTCCTGACCCGGTCAGACCACTTCTCTTCCTGGGAGTGTCCCTGAATGCAGCAGATAGGTTGTAGTGAAGCACACAAAAAGATACATGGAAAAATATATTAACAGATCATCTGTTATCTTTATCTAGCAACAAGCTAGGGCAGCATAATATCAGGAAATACGTCACGTGTGACAATATTGGTGAAAATAAATAACGATGACCTGCAATTAGTAATCAGTGTTAATGTGGGACTAATATCCAGCCCTGTTCCAGTGACACATCCTAAAGCCTACAGTTTTTTTTTTTTTTTTTAATCAAAGTCTGTTTTAATTATCAGTTGTGGAAAAAATATATATTCTTTTGTAATTCTCTTAGTTGCATTCCTTAGAGAGAGAGAGAGAAGAAACAACTTCTGATCTTAGTGTAAGTTAAAAGTAGGTCTTTATGATATTAAACAGGTATTTATACAACTCTATTCTGTACTTGTTCTTTCCCATCCTTACCATTTCCTTCGACCAGGAGAAACTGGGCCTGACGTGAGGCGGTGCTCTGAAACGATAACTTGTACAGGAGAATCTCCTGTGAAATACAATAACAAGGTGCAATGTTCAACTACAGCGACTGATTTAATAGCAAAAACAGAAGTTCACATAGTTTCACCCAAGCTGACAAAGGGTTTTCAAATCAAAATGCTCAATGTTAAACACATCCAAACAAATCCACCACAATACTGACGGGGTGTGTTGAGTAATCGGCTCCCATCGTGGACCGGCTGCTGCGCCCCGCCGCTGGCTGTGGCTCTGATCTGAGGGCTGGTGAAGCTAACAGGAGTGGAGTGGCCTAGCATGCTGTGGGTGGTGTGGGCGGGGCTGATGAAGGAGCTGCTTTCAGACACGGAGGTGCAGACCACACCGCTTGGAGACGCCACCGTCAGGACCCGCTGCCTCGCCATGTTTGCCACTCCGACGCGTGAACGTACTGCAACAGACAGAGACTGGATCGTACACTATTGTTGACCAAACACTAAATGCAGGATTTACAGGTGCAATGCAGGAAAACCACTTTAGTCAGTGCATGATATTAGATCACCGATATCCTTTTGGGAAACATACGGTTTACACACTACTTACAAATGTAAAAACACATCGCCTTTTAAATGTACAAGTCCAAAAAATGAGAATAATATTTATAAAGTTGTCCTTTCAGATTTAGGTTGTGCAATTGAGTAATTTTGTATTTTAATGTTTTATCTTTTTGATTAAAAACCAAAATTCAACATTATTAACAAAAACAGGATTTTTCTTCAAATAATTATGCCACATTTAAAAGGGAACACACATACTTATTTTGTTCTTTAATTTTCTTTCTCCAAACTTAATAAATGACCAACAGTCAATGTTGAGCCAAATAATTACAATTAAACTTTTTCCACCGTAATCCATCAGCTTGATTTAAGAACGTATTAAATTTTCATTTCATAAAAAGTTGTATTTTAAGGAAATTTGAAACATTTATGCTCCTTTATCAGTAACAGATACATATCTAATATGTATTATTTAATGATAAAACATTTGATCTAACAGTAATTAGAAATAACTTACTCCTCTGACTTGCAGATATAGCGGGGGAATTCTGCAATGATCTGGAAAATAATTTATAAATATCAGATCAACAACAGTTAATCTCAAAACATGAACAGACTTGAATGTTGAAAGTAGTCAATTATTACTTGATTTGGTTGAGGGTAAAATCCAGCTTTTTCCACAAAGATGTCATCACAAGAGGGACTTCGTGTCCAGAGTCTTTTAGAAAACAACAACACAGTTGTTACAATCTGCTTAAAGTGAACACATATATATATATATTCCAAAACACGAAAGCCACATTTACCTTTTGCTTTCGCTGCCACATACTCATTCAAGATGGCTGTCAAGCCCTTCCCAAAGACAGACTGTGCATGTGTGAGGGAAGAGTTTATTAATATCTGTGCATGGCAATCTTAACAATTAAAGACAGGTACATGTTTGGACAGCCTTTGGACTCACAAAAACACAGGCAGGTATCACTCCGTCTCCTGTAGTGTGCTCGGCATACTCCTTCAGGTTTGGACTCTCATGGATGAAGGCTTGGCTTGTAGCTGACAGCCCCTCTTCCTGGAGGTACCCTGCACAAAGCAACAAAAAAAAAAAAGACAGGTATTAAAAAGTTAGCACTGTGGCACAATAAATCTGCACCGTTGTCACTTCGTTATGGCTACCAGCTAAAGCTACAAGCAGCTGTAGCTTTGTTATGTCCGGCTTACCCAAAACAAGCCGAGCGACGTCAGAAGGGAGCAACATGGCAGCTTTAGGTGTAATAAATTAAAGTAAAGAACGAATAAATGGCTACATATTCGAAAAATTGCTAATAAAAGTCGCAACATAACCCCACATTAGAGGACGTCATTGGTGTTATAATGAGGGCAACATCCTGACTAAACTCCTGCTTTCTCAAACGGCGGGGAACTCGAGAACCCGGAAGTAGCAGCTTGACCTACTACTCAGATTCCTGGTAATTGTAGTCCAATCCGGATCTATGAACGTAAAAATATCATATATGGGCCATATGAACATACAAACATGCAGTATGTTGGAACTTGATTAAATACTAAAACAAATTTCTGAACTGTTTCGTACTTAAAACAGCATTCATTCTATTTTTGACGTCAAAAACCAAGCGGATAAACTCACTTCCGTCTTTCCTAAAACTAGGAAGTGAAAGGCGCATCACCGCACTCATCCTGGGGCGGGAATATTCCTGCGTGGCTTGCGTGAGTGTGCATGAGTTTTATTGCACGTCAAGATGGCAAAGTTGTTTTGAGATGAACTGTAAAACGTCCTGTATTTCCTACACCTGGTCCAGCAGCAGGTTGTTGACTCCAGTCGGTGCAGACCAGTGAGCTCGGTGAGCATGCTTAGTGAAAGTTTAAATGAAGCTCTGTAAATCAACTCCAGAGCTGGTTTCGTTTCGTGTTTGTCTGCATGCATGATCAGGTTACACGTGCAAATATTGTATTTTATTAGAAATTATGCGAATTTAAGTGCTTTGACATTAGAGAATAAAGCTGATACCTGTCTGCCCGCTTACTGATTGATTATTTTACATCTGCTTCCTACTAAATTATTGTGATTTGATTGTCCATCTCTGGCCGGGGTGTTTTCCACTTCACTTAAAAGGCCACCATTGCGCCACAGATTTGTTGCATCCCATTAGCAGAAGTAAAGTTCATCTTCTGTACGCATTAAAACTCCGGTTTATGTTTTGTCCTGTTATTTAGGTGCAAAGAATATTTTTGCTCAATTCCAACTTTCTCATTTGGGACTTTTCTGGGTTTGTGTGAGGACTGACACCGACTGTGTTAGAGGCTGTAGCTTTATACAGTCATGATCAAAAGAGATCTCGTTTTTCCACTAACTTTGCAAGATCAGATTTATTAGATCTATTGTGTTTGTGAGAGTTTGCTAATGAAGGATTGACTGAACTATGTATAGAAGTTGTTTATAGAAGTTAGAAAATGTTATGCACCAAATTATTTTATTGACCTTAGAGCAGGTGGAGTTGCCTTTTGCCTTGGTTTAGAAAAGAAGGTTTGTAGTCGATGTTTTAGAGAGAAACAAGGATTAGTCGTGAGGATCAAGGATCCCCTGCTGTTTTATGACACACTAAAGGTACATCTGTGTGAGATCAGTGTATGTGTTCTCCCTGTATTGGGTTTAATAAATTGCCCATACAAGGTTTGGTTGTTTAAATATTTGTTTATAACCAAACCTCTGCTTTCTTTTAAAGCAACTATTTAGCTATTGTAATTAAGTCAGAAGAGCAGTGGAAAGTCAGCTCACGTCAATCTGTTGTTAGCAATAACACATGCTTATCCTCTCTGGTTCCTCTTCTTCTCTGTTTTTGTGGAAAGAGTCCATCTTTCAGCAAAATGCCTGGGTGTGATCTGTTCATTTGTATTTTGGCCGTAAGGATGTTGGTGTTGTTTATCCGCCTGTTCCTGCAGGTGTAACCAGCTATAAGCTGTCGCCAGAATGAGTCTGGTTCTTCATGATCTCCTGGTCTGCTGCAGAGGGTTGGAAAATGACAAAGCTACAGAGAGGAAGGTAAGCAAACTACAAAGATCTGATTACATTTAATCCCTTAGCATCAGTCAGTTCATCACTTATTTTGTGCCCCCTTTTGTGGAACTAGAAAGAAACTGAACGCTTTAGAAGACTCATTCGTTCTAATGACGTTATGCAAGAACTGGATCGCACCTCTGGGACCAAAGCTAAAGGCTCTAATCAACTCACATGGGATGCTGTTTTCAGGTGAGTCTCCATCATTTTCCCACTTTTATCTCCTTCATCTACGCGTGGCCTTCAATTACATCTCATATTTTACTCTAGGAAAATCCTTCTATAAAATGAAAGCTTTCGTTTTTGTTTTGCTCAGTCCAGTGTTTTTTTTTTTTTTTGGTCCCTTATCAGATTCCTGCAGCGTTTTGTCCAGAAGGAGACTGAGAGCATGCAGTCGAGTAAATCCAACGTCACGGCGACTACGTTGGCCACACGGCAGAAGAAGATGGCTGAAACATGCAGCTTAGTCAAGTTTTTCATTCGCTATGCAAACAAACGTAAGGGCAAGATTTTCAACTTAACTTAGAAAATGCAAGTTTGATCAAATTATCTATGTGAAAATTTGTTTTGCTTATACATGAAAACAATATTTTATTGCCTCACCTACTTACTGGAACCTACTTACAGGACTGGGCTGGTTTGAACTCTCTTGGAAGATGTAATGTGGACTCCATGTCTAAGGCTTGTTTTGTGCAGGTGGGCCTCGTCTGAAGTGCAGCGAGATGCTGAAACACGTGATGGAGGTGCTGCAAAGTTCGTATTGCTGCTCAGCATATGGAGAGAATTACAGCAGCCTCCTTTTAAAGGACATCCTCTCTGTCCGCAAGTACTGGTGCGACATCACTCGGCAGCAGTGGCAGAGTAAGTGGCCAAAGAGACGGGTCGAAACATCAAGATCAACGTTGGGTTTTAGTATCTCAAAGCTGATTCCTCATCACCGATGTTTATGAAAAATATGAGAAACTGTCAAAACTGCTTGAGTCAAGTTTGCTTCATGTTTCTGTTTAGTTATTGACTTTTGATGTTTATGTAAAACTCTACTGATCACTATAAAGCTATTTTCTGTTGACCTTGTAACAGACGCAGCAGATTTGAATTCCTATTTCAATAAAAAAAAAGAAAAAGTGAAACTCCTGCAGTTTTTCCCTAGGAGCACACGACATATTCGTGCCCACTCACATATTGTCATATTAATTTCCAAACCTTTATAAAATGTTATAAGTGTTAGAGTTAGAAATCTCATACTTGTGATGTGACAACAACTTAAACTTTGTCACAGATCTTATACTTTGCAGTATAGTACATTAAGTTTATAAAATAATCATTCAAATGATTAGATATTCATGTTTTTTTAAGATGGATTTTATTAATTTACTTTTTTTATGTTGCTGCTCTGTTGCATTCAATTATTTAGTATTAATATAAATTCTAATCATTCCAGCTATATTAGTCTCATCTGCTGCAGTGTTATTAATCTGATATAAACCTAGATGAAGATTTCTCCCACCACTTTAACACAGGAGGCTTTTTTTTGCCTCTCACTGGAACTGTAAGAAAGTCTTAAAAGTCATCCTGATAACTTAGGTGTATTTGTCCTTTTACCTTTTGATCTAAAGGTCTTTTGGAGTTGTACTGCGGCTTGTTCAACTCTTCATCCAAATCCATCAACCGTGTGCTGCTGAGCAGAGTCATCTACGCTGTGGTGAAGGGCTGCTGCGCTCAGACTGACGGATTTAATGACAGTTTATTCAGCTTCTTCTCTAAAGCAATGCTTAACGCCAGGTAGAAGCCATGATCATTATATCCATTGTCAGATAAATTGTTTTGCTTCTGTTGTGAACTGTGGTAAACTTCATGCACCATCCTAGGCAGGAGAAACACCTCAGTGTCCTGGAGCATCTCGTCTTGGCTCTGAACATCTTCCTGAGATCTGCCGCCATGAACTGCCGGATGAGAGTGTGTCGTCTCGGAGAGGAGCTTCTTCCCTCTCTGTTGAACGTGTGGGAGGACATGAGGCCGAGCGTCAACCTGAAGGAGGAGATTGTGGAGTTCTTCAACCTGCAGCTCCTTGTTCACCATCCGAAGGGAGCAAAGACGCAAGACACAGGTTCAGTGTTAGAAAGCTGAGTTATCAGAAATGATGTCCTGGGTGGGATTTACATTAAAGTTTACCTATTAAGGCAAATTTACATTCTGTGGATCTTTGTACTTCCATTTAGATCTCAACATCTTCTAAAAACAACCCAACTGCTTAAAAAAAAAACACCCAGACATTTTTGCCAATAAGTAAATGTTTTTTGGTGTCTGGAAAATGAGCCAAATCAAAAAACCTCTCTATTGTTAAGTCACATTTGACGGTCACTGTGCCATTACCTAACAAGCTAAGCCGAACCCAGCCCTGTTACCTAGCAACCCAGCTTGGTCTTTCTGCCATCTTTTTTATTGTGCAGTAGGCTCAACTTCTGCTTTTCAAAGATGTACGGCTGTATAATTGCACATCTGCTTGCAGCCATTTTCGTGTGTGAGTTGGGGGGGGGCGTGGCCAGCAGCTGCCTATTTAGATTTATAGTGATAAGACCTTAAAACAGCTCATTTTGAAAGGAGCTCAAAATAGGCAGAAGTAACCAGACTAAAATCTCATTATCTAAGAATTACATTGTGCAGAAAATGAATTGAACATGTTCTGTGTAGCCCATCGACCTACCCTAATCTGTTCAAGGAAGCACAGTAGGTCACCTTTAAGATTTGTCTTTGACAGCAGTCGGAATGCGATTTAGAAGAATTGAAAGTTTCCCCAAATTAACCTTAATTCAAACGATGATCTTTGTTTCTAGGTGCGCATGCGGAGGACTGGTCCAGGTGGCGTGGCCTGCTGTACAACCTGTACGACACTTTAGTCAGAGAGATCAGCCACATCGGCAGCAGAGGGAAGTACGTCACTGGGACCAGACACATCGCTGTGAAAGATAACCTCATTGAACTCACTGCCGACATCTGTCACCAGGTAAAAAAACCCAAAAAACTTTACTCCTGGTCTCCCAACATTTGCATAAATGCAAAGCAGATCAGATCTGAGTTTGAAGTTGCGGTCCAGTGTATGTTTAACACCCGTTTATCTTGTCACAGCTGTTCAGTGTTGACAGTGATGCCCATGTGCTGGAGGTCACTCAGCCCCAACACAGAGCCACGCAGATGGGCAGTCCCATCAGCAAGCGGCGCCGCATAGAAATGGGCTGGGATGTCCTCCGTGACCATCTGCAACCTCAGCAGAGCGACTTTGATGTCATACCTTGGTATGAAAGTCAAAAAGCATAAAAAAAAAAAATGTTACCTCACATTTACTCAAGCCTGTGTTTTCTTCTCTCAGGCT